AGGTATAGGCAAACTCGGCCCTCCAGATGTTTTGCCCATTATCCATGACCAATGGTCCTGTTAGCTAGGGATCATGGTAGTTGTAGTCCCAAAACATCTGGAGGGCCGAGTTTGCCTATGCCTGGTTTAGAAAGTGATGGGGGAAGGCACTGAAAAGTGTAGAATGGCCGAATGGCCAATGAGAATATGTGCAGGTACCCTGTAAGGAAAGTAGTAGAGATGCAGGATGAATTCTGAACTGCCCCAGAATCCAATCAGAAGGAAAGCTTGATAAAGGCTGGACCACTGATTGAGTGTTGCGCAAGCAAATGGGGGCACATGCTGAACAAACAGGTTGTCTGGAAGACCCCTATGTCTTTCATTGCCAGATGGTGAGAGCAAACATCTAAAACAGTTGACAGCAAAGCAGTACTTTAAGACAGAAGTCCAGGGCCTGCTCAGCTGAATGAACAGGGGTTGGGAAGAGGGAATACAACAGGGCTGGCTTTACTGCATTAAATGAAGTAATGCATGCTATCATCTAACTCCTTCTATATCATACATTTAAAGCACATGACCAAAGAATCATGGGAACTGTAGCATGTTAAGGGTGTTGAGAATTGTAGCTTCTTTGGGGGAAGCTATGTCCTTTAAATGTGCTTTAAATGTACATGTGTAGGGTGTGACCATTAAGACCATTATTAAGTCCAGAATCTCGATTTACCTCACCACACCACTGCATGTACATTGATGAATAAATAATAGTTTAAAATGCATTGAGCACCTCTAAACCTTATGGAGGAGCAAGCATTTACAACTGCAGCCCCACTCTTCTGCAACATCCAGTTCCAGCCTGAGGTAAGAAAAACTGTTGCCGAAGTCTAGGATGACAGACTCTGTAGAGACTCCAGAATGCTTGAATACGTGGACAGCTCTGTAGTGCATCTCTGCTGCAATGTAACATTGTTCAGATGGTCTCCATGGAATCGTTCTTGTCCAAGCTGTGACGAATGTCATTTACTTCCCTCACTCCGGCCATCCCTGCTAGTGAAAAAAATGAATTCAGATTTGAAAGCAAACCCTCCTAAAAGCGAGAGGCAAAATAGTGCAACACCGGGAAGCAGCCTTTTTTTGCTATACGTATTACAAAATGGCTAACAGCCAAACACCGTGGCCGATTACCGCACTAACATTAGGCACCCATAAAACATTGACATCAGTGGACGCAAAGCAGAAACATGTTATCTGTTTCAAACTTTGCCTGATCAGCTCCAGATATGGCTTCTTTCCAGGGCTGACCTAGAATGTTCCATAGCTAGTGCTGGAGATTATTATCATCTGGCGGCAGCTGAGGGTATCCATGTTGCCTTCCCCCGTCCCCCTTAAAATTTAGAAAGGTATATTAAAGAAGGGGGGATAGAAGAAAGCCACCAGTACTCTGAATTTGACATTTTTACAGTGCTCATAGTAAGCTCGCTGCCTTGCAGAACTCAGAGGTGCCAGGTCCACGCCCATACAAAGACTAAGGACAGGGCCCAACAATGAGCGTTCAGATAGTAAGTTACAGTGCTCAGAGCACTACAGTCCCTCAGTAACCTTCACAACAACCCTCTCAGGCGAGGTTGAGGAGCTCATGGCTCTCCAGATGTTGTTGGGTTCCAGCTCCCATCACCTCTGGCTGCTGGCCATACTGGTTGGGACTGATGGGGCCACAGGGCCCTATCTTTGCTGTAAGATATGCCATATTTCAGAAGCTGAGAGGCACTGGGTTGTATCCAATGCTGTTGCTAGAGACATTCATTTACACAATGGACCTTCCCGCCTCTTCTCCTCTCCCCTGCAGTGCTGGGCTGGGGGTCCTCCCAGAACAGACTGTGGAGCACACAGGGAGAGCAAAGGAAAGGGAAGTCTTGTTGAGGCTGCCTTCAATATTCTACCTCAGGACTTCCGGACCTCCATGATGACCATGGGGCTGTCTCAACACACAGGGCAGGGCAGGTTTTTGTTCCAGGTCAAAGAAGGGTTGTCTGGAAATAGGTGTGATGGATATCACAATGAATTGATGACACTGATTGCAGGGGTAGTGGACCAATCTGGAAGGTCTACCACAGAGACAAATGGAATCTGATGGTTTCTTGAACTACCTAGGGGTACTCTTCAAATGGATAGAGCAGACAACTCTGTTGAAGCATGTGTTGCAATGAGGAATAGTTAGGTATGGTAATCCCTGAGCATCTTGACATGGTAATCCCTGAGCATCTTCTCCAGAGCCTATTCTGCACCTTGGTGTGCCTGGATCATACAAGTGCCCATGTGACTCTCCTTTTGTATTGCTAAATCCTGTGCTGGTTGATTTCTGCTTATTTTCAATGTGCCCATTTGAGGTAAAGGGAGCAGGGAAGGAGGAGAGGAGAATGGAGAAAGTGTGTGCTCTCTCACACAATTTACTGAATGTTCTTTAGCACTGACCGCTAACAAGCAACCAAAACCATACCTGTCTCATCACAACAGACCAGTCAGCCGTCACATCTAGGTAGATCTTCAGCTTCTGCCAGAACTTTGCAACCAGTTATTGTTTTGCCAGATAGTACACACAGACACAATCTTTTTGGGAGCTACGACCACCCACGTTGAAGCTGACATGCTAAGGAAACCTACCCATGAATCATCTTAAACTAGCAACAGCTGCTCGCTCTTTCTTTTCACAATAAAAAGTTCAGCTTGAAAAGTCTAGCTGCATCTTTCCAGCTCTTATAAGCCTGGCAGAACAGTCTTACCAAAGTGTGTTCTCTATGGCATTGTAAGTGGTAAAGAAGAACTACTTGACTATGTCTAGCAGCACAACACACATCTCGCCAGTGATGCAGGCTAAGGAGAAGTGAGCATGCAGATGGAGCTACTTTAAACATTTTTAATGCAGGCGCTCACTCAACTGAAGTTTTCAAGGGAAACAGTTTCAATGGAAAAGCCAGTTATTCCGTGGAATAGAGAGAGCTGTTTTTTCCTCGGATTCAGCTGGGTGACCAGCTGTCACAACCTACCACCCAACAACACATAGACTTCCAGAAGTGCACTCTTCTTCCCCGTCATAATTATGACATTTTTGAATTGCAGCTGAAGAGATTGTGTCTACACTCCTTTGTGCGTTTGCTAGGAAGCAAGCCCTGTTGATCTGTGTCCAATTGCCATCAGCAGCCGGCAAGCATGAAAGAGCCTTTTCTGGTGGCTTAACTTCCAAGGGCTTGATGTTGAACACACTTAAAAGCCTATCTGCTATGAGGAACCTGTGTTATTAGGGTTCCTGATTAAATAAATGCGTTTTGAAGGTCCCTTGAGATCTTTGATGTCAGACAGGAAGCTACCAAGGTAGCACATCAGCATCTGCCTTTGGAACTCCCTGACTGGAGAAGTTAGACCATCTTCCTCCTTGTTGTCCTTTCGCCAGCAGGTGAAGACCTACTTGGGGAGGACTAACTGCTTTTAATGAAAGGGCTGGTGCCATGGTATTTTTATTGTAATTATCTGTATCTTTTTAATAGATCTTAGAGGGAAAGAGAAAGAGAGAGAGTTTTAAATCTATTAATGTTTAAGTGTTTTTAATGACTCCTCCTCCCTATGTATTTTTTCTGTAAACCATCCTGAGTCCCTGTCATGGGAAAAGGTGGGATATAAATAAATGAAGTTTTAGTATGGTCACTAATTTATGTTGGGTGGGATTTAGCTAAGTTGTTGCATGCGTGGCATGAGGTCCACTCACTCAATAGGACCTTCCCTCCCTCTCCTCCTCCCCCCACATGCCCCTGCATTGCTGCCTAAATCTACTCCAGAAAGGTTGAGGGGAAACCCCAGAATAGGTTTAGGAGCTGTAAGGTGCTATTTACATGGAATTTTTACTTGATGGGATAATCGCTTGTTGCTTTCTTACACTTGCTGGTGGTGGATTGGTGTTACACCAAAGGCATCACACATGAAATCTGATTCTGAAGATTAGAATCCAAGTTCTCTATGTAGCTCATGGTTAAGAGATATCACATCAGAATTATCTGGTGCCCATGATGGAAAACACTTGGATGCGGTAGCCCAGAGGCCAAAAATGTCTAAGAAAGCTCCATGATCCTGAAAAAGACAAGGTGTTACAAAACCTGGGTAAGCCCTAAGGACCACGCAGGTGTACCTCATCTGATGGCCAGAAATCACAGGGAGAAAACTTTCTTATCAGAAGTGAAAACTGAAACAAAAATAAGCATACTTTGTGGAGGATAAAAATAGAAGATAAAAATACTTTGTGGAAATCACTGTGATTGGACATACTTCATTACTACTGGACACTCTTTATATCCATTCATGTTTTCTACTTTATTTTAGTGTTGTTTATTTCAAATTCAGTGGTGACTACTACTCTGCTCTCTCCACTCACAGAAACCCATGAAAAAGGTCCTAGTTATTCTCCCTAAATGGCTACCAACTGTGAGGCTGTCCTACGCAGTTCACATAACAAGAACAGCAGTATGCCTGAGCAAAATGTTCAGTCATTTGCTCTTCATATTTTGCTTACGAAAGGAAAAAAGAGGGAGTGCTTTCCAAATAATAAAGCTTTGTCATCACTAAAGGCTTCTTCTGTTTGGCCCCGTGATACCTTTGGGAGAAATTAGCTTCCTGACTTGTACTGGAACAGCTGCCATTTCTTGGCTGCTTCTTGGTTTGAAAATGTGTATAAAAGCATTTTTGTGTCTGCATGTGAATAGTCATTATTTCCAGCATATTCAAGAACTTGGGACAACGAAAAAGGTATTCCCAAATGATCATGCAGAAAATAATTGATGGTGTTCATACTCCTAGAGACCAATTGCCAATTGCAACAGAAAATTTTAAAATGTTCGTCAATATTGCTCACCCACATTTCATTTTCCTTCCCTTTGTCTTGAGGCAGGAATGGCCCCTCCTCTTGGGATCTAGTATATCCACTGCCACCTATGTTGAATTCCTCACTACCAAATATAAGTGGAGGCAGTAGAGGTGAATGTTCAAGAGCATAGCTCAGTTGGTAGAGCATGAGACTCTTAATCTCATGGATGTGTGTTCGAGCCCCATGTTGGGCAAAAGAGGTCTAGAGTAGATGATCCTCTACAATTCTAAATCAAGCTGTTTCAGCAAGTAGGAAGCAGAACACTGCTTGACTAAAGTCTACTACTGAGGCTTTGGTGAAGTCAAAAACTGTTTGTAAGTCGTGTGTGTGTAGTCTACCAGATCACCCTTGTTGACATACAGATGTATTGCTAGGCACAAAGCAAGCACTACAGAAATTACGAATGATGCATGTGACTGTATCTTTTGCAAACTGTTTTCCAGTCTTTTATTGTGCTGATGGTCCCACAAGAACTTCATCATGAGAAAGGTCTCACTCTCACTCTCACCTCCCATAGATGGAGAACTTAAGACTGAATTGCCCAAAAGAATGCCTGGTTCACAGGACAAGCCTAGCCTTGGTTTAGTGAGACTGCACAATTGTATAGACTCAGGACAAGGAGGCTAAATCCTTGATTACACCTTGTGATTAGTGAAGAGAGAGCTGAACCATGAGTTCTTGTTTGTATCTTAGGCTAGCTCAGCATGATGCAGCAGCAGAAAGGACCACGGAGGAGCAAAACCAGGGAGGTGTTAGCAGCTCTCTGGGAGCCTATATGCTCACATGGGTTCACTTTCATGCTGTGTGAACCAGGACAGTGAGCTCATGGCAGAGACCAAAATGCCACCACTTTAAACCAGCTGCAGACTGGTGGTTTTCTTCTTCACAGGTGCATTCTGCAACAATTCATGCAGTAATAGCATGTTAGTGCTACACATCATTCCCCTTTATTAGTTTTCCTGCGATGCTTTCCCAATATTGTTGTATTATTGCTGTTTGGAGGAGCACACCAGTGCAACAAAAGCAGCCCCTTCAATTCTTGGGACATTTGTGGTATGAAGTTGCAAGAGTTCAGCAGGATGTTATGGGGCATGCGCAGACTAGAAACGAAGCAGATGTCTACCTAAAAACTTTTGCAAGCACACAGCATTGAAGGTGGGATTGCATGGAGCCATCCAGATATCATCCCGAGCAGAAGTCATCATGAATAAATAGGATGTGGGGAGGGAGGAGGGGCTCCCTGTCCTACTCTTCAAAAGCACAGTGGATTAGTAAATGGACCTCAACAATTTTTTTAAAAAAATATTTATTTGCTTTTTCAGATTAAAATTTTAGTCATATATCGAATATAACATAAAAGCAAGATTCAATAAAATCTCTTGGACTTCCCTCCTCCCCTTTGTGGGTCCTATTGTTAATAATTTCCTCCTGCATCTTTTATGATAATCCAAATCTTTTACATCTTGATTGTGTCCACAGTTCACCATTCAGCTACAAGTGATATTCCAAACCTACTAACGATGTTAACTTTTAACAATGGTTTTTAAGATAGGTTATAAATTTCCCCCATTCCCTTATTAAAATTTTGGTCTTCCTGATTTCTGACTGTTCTGGTCATTTTAGCCATTTTGGCATAATCCATCAACTTGATCTGCCATTCTTCTCTGGTAGGGACTTTATCTTCTTTCCATCTCTGGGCCAATAACATCCGCGGTCCCATACATAGTCTTTTCTGCTCCCTTAGGATTTCGGTACCTAGAATTCCTAAAAGGAAGACTTCGGTTTTGTTTGTTGGGGGGGGGCACCTTTTAAAGCACACACACACTCTTCAGACTGCCCCTACTGTTCCCCCACAAGCCCTTGGCTGAATGGGAGGGGTCTCCTCTGTCTTTCATCCCAGGGGGACAAACGACGGCGCGGTTCCGACACCTCCTCCCTCTGGAGGGCTTCCCATGGGGCAGTCATTCAAAGGCCCAAAAGCAAAGCAAAAGTGTTCAGGGTCCGCTTCTTATCCGCAAACGGGTGCCGTTAACCCGAAGTGGAACAAATGGTGGCGGCAGGTAGCGGGTGTGCAAGGGAGGTAGCAAGGGACCGGAGATTTCTACCAGACCCCGGCAGGCCGAGCGGAAAACTTGCTCTGGAGTTTGAAGGAAGGCTGGAGGGGCCGGCGGAGAGAGCCGCGAGAGCAGCTTCAGGTGACCCCACCCGCCTCCCGGCCTTTCCGCCCCCTGGCCTGCCGCCGCCCCACCCCCGAGCGCCGACCCGCCGGAGGGGCCTGTCTCCGCCCCCTCGCTCCTCACGCCCTTATTTAACTCCGCCGCGCAACAGGGGGAGCGGCTCACTCCGCCGTCCCGCCGCTCGTCTCCTCGCTCCGCATCGGGTCTTCCCCCTCCGTCACGATGCGCTCGGGACTGCTGCTGCCTTTGGCCCTGGCTCTGTGGGTCAGCGTCTCTTGGGCTGCCACTCGGACCCCTTACCAGCAGATCTTGCATCACAGCCGGCTCCGGGGCAGGCATCAAGGGTAAGTCTCCGAGCTTAAATGGGGGGGGGGGGAGGGAGGGAGGGAGCGATCTGGTGATCCACCCAACCCGCGGGACCCGGTGCCTCTTGCACGCTGGCGGCGACGCGCGTGTGCCTGGCTCGGGCAAAAGGCGGGAGACGGTTTCCACACGTTCTCCTCAGAACGGATGTCCGAAGGTTTGGGGAACGCGAAGCAGCGGCCACATGATGGGCCGAAGGTGTTTCGCTGCCGCCCTGCTGCCTCTCGAGTTTAGATTAATTTTTTAGATCTCAGTTTAGATTTTGGGTTCCACAGAAATGGCTCTTGGTCCCGAAATGCGTCGCCTGTTCTGTTGTAATTCATTGAAGGGATGGTCGGAGGGGCAAGCATTTGGAAAACGAAGAGAAAATCCCAATCCATGGATTAAAAAGCAAGTTTTAAACAGCGGGGGGATCCACTTGGATTATGGTCATCGGGGATCAAATGGCTTGTGGAGATGAGCTGTGCTTCCCAAAAGAGTGAGGCTCTGTCTCCTGCCAGTTATTTATTCTCCATTAGGTAGGTCTGAAAGAATAGGAGGCAAGATTGTATCTTTTTGGTTTTGCATTTATTGCAATGGATGGTTCAGGTAGTCTGTTTTCAAGTTACATAGAACTCTTCGTGCATGAAGAAGAGTGCTGTATGAATTGAAGGTTGGCTACCCTTGAGGCACAGTATACTGGCACTAACCCTACACCCACCTTTTATGGACTGGCTGCACCTCTCACTCTCTCTCTCTTTAAGGAATGCATCCAATATTGTGTTCAGATGACTGAAAGTCAATCCAGTTCTTGCCAACATTTGCCTTACATTTAAATGGACAAAGGTTCAGTTAGCCAAGTGTTTGTCAAACTGTTCATTTGTGCTCACCTTTCCAAACTCACCCCTGCCAAGCCAGTTCTACAGATAAAGTGAAATAAGTCAGAACAATAAATGTGGTTGCTTCTCCCCCCCCCTAAAAAAAAAATTAAAATTAAGGTGCTCAGTGGCCAGGCCAGCTATGTTAGTTTGGCACCTGAGGCAGAAAACCCCACTAATGACTCTTTCCCCTTCCTAGCAGTAAAAATGCAAGCAATAATAAATTAAATGACACTTGAAATCAACTACCTGAGGTAGCCACCTCATTCTGACTAACAGTAGAGCTGGTTAACATTTCTGTCCTAAATGGCATGAACTCTTTAAGCACAGCTTTTGAAATAGCACATTTTAGGCTCATGCCACTAGTGAATTTCATAAGGCTGATGGCATTAAGGGGAACTTCAGGCACACTGAAACCAAAGAAATGTGAATCAAGCCAAGCTGATACATGCAGGAATGGAAAACCTCCTGGAAGGCTTTGAGTATGAAGGAAACAAATCACTTTAGTCATTTGGGGGCAAATTCTAAAAGGCCTATTTGGGGGCGTGGGTGGCGCTGTGGTCTAAACCACAGAGCCTAGGGCTTGCCGATCAGAAGGTTGGCGTTTCGCATCCCCGTGACGGGGTGAGCTCACGTTGTTCGGTCCCTGCTCCTGTTAACCTAGCAGTTCGAAAGCACGTCAAAGTGCAAGTAGATAAATAGGTACCACTCCAGTGGGAAGGTAAATGGCGTTTCCATGCTTTGGTTAGCCAGAAGCGGCTTAGTCATGACCCGGAAGCTGTACGCCGGCTCCCTCGGCCAGTAAAGCGAGATGAGCGTCACAACCCCAGAGTCGTCCACGACTGGACCTAACAGTCAGGGGTCCCTTTTAAAGTATTTATATAGCTTTTGCTGCACTACAGATCCCATCCTCCATGACGGTTGGCTATGCTAGCTGTGGCTGATGGAGGCTGAAGTTCAAGATGTTTGGAGGGACAGATTGAGAAAGGCAGTACTACAATAGGAGCTGATAAGTCAGAGGGATCCGAGTGTTTATAGAATGCAGTTCTCTAGATGCTCTTTTCATTGGTGTGTAAACAGTCACAAGTGTGGTCCTTTTAGGGGCATTCAGTTCAGAGAATTCTGGTGCAAGTTGGGAAGCAACAGGCAGGCACAGGCTTAGCTGTGAATGGGCTCTGGGATTCCTTCTCTCAGGGACCTTTAGATAGATCATAATACTTATCCTGACCCTCACACAAGACACTTCACTTACTACAGTAAGACTAAGTCATCTTGATGGCTTCTACCTAAGCTGTGTGATTCATTATTAACCCATCAATGGTAATGCCCACTAGCATTTTTTAAAAAACCAACACCACCCACCCACAAATTAACTTAAAAACAAGGAAACAACTGGATGAAATTAAATACACAACTATCAAGGGCAAGTAGTTCTGATAGCCAGAAATGCTGCTTCTCTTTCATAGATCAGGTATTTGGAATTGACATTGCTCGTTTCCTGCCTTTCTTCAAAGGAGTTTAGGGGAGCATATTATCCTCCTAACAGCTTGGTGGTGTAGGCTAGGCTGAGAGATGATTGCCCAAAGCCAACAAGTAAGATTGTAGCTAAGTGAAGATTTCAATATGGTCTCCCCACATCCTATTCCAGCACTGTATCATTGTTAACACAGGGACTAGATTCTGTATCTTAGTTAGATCCTGCATTAGCCACTGTTTTATCATCACTTTCCTCACTCACAGTCACCCACACACTCACTCACTCACTCACTCGGTAGTATAAGATTCATTTCTCTTTGTTGTTGTCCCATTGTGTTGTGTGTGAATATCCCAAACAGATGGGTGGAACTGGTCACTTGCATGCTGACTTTTTAATATGAAATACCAATGCAGTCAGCTCAGTCCACATCATTGCTTCAATTTTGCTCTTTCCTTCTTTCTCACAAACGTCACTATGAGATTCCTATCACAGGGTGAAGGGGAAAGAAAAGCACTCCTCATGCAAGTAGCTCATCCTTCTATTGTTTGCCCGCTGTGGTTACTTGAAGGAAAAGCCCTTTTCTCATTACTCAGTGTTTTTCATCGTTATCATGTCAGCTTATTCACAAGCAATGCTAAGCCAAAACCATAGTTTCGTGCAAATGCGTGAGTGTCCCACAGAAAGCTGCTTTGCTCCTCTGGTCCTGCTGCTGTGATGTAAAGCCATGGTGTGTTATCTGAGCCAAGGTTTTTGGTTTGTCTCATTCCCCACAAACCATGGGCTGTTGCCAGGATTTGCCTTTGAGTTTACAGTGGCCAAGATCTCCTCTCTGGGAACCTTCACACTTGTGCATTTGTGTCAAGCCACACAGAAGCCTTCTCCACCCCGTCTGTCTCTGTCTGTGTGTGTAAACTGTTCCCCATGAGCGTCCTTCTATCCATGAGTGATGAACTTTGATGCAGGAAGGTAGCAGGCAGGCTCTCTTCCAAGCCCCTGTCAATCAGCTGTCCTCCATATCCTTTTCCTCATCAAAACTGAAGTAGGTTTAATTTAAATTGGATGAAAATTTCTTCCTAAGTTATAACTCACATTCGCTCACACACTCACTCAGGGGATCACTTGCCCTAGTGGAAATATACAAAGTTCGAATGCATTCAAAGGAAGGGTGCAATAGAGGTGGGGGAAATCTAACCTGGCTTAGTAAAGAGAAAGGTCTTCCACATTTCAGCTTCATTTATGATTTATATTCTGATCTCATGGAAATTTAAACTGCGGGAGTAATGATTCCTTCTTTATAAATACAGTGCTTCTTTTAGGACTTATTATTTACAAGACGTCGTTGAATGCCAGGGTATGTATAGGGAACTCAATATATATATTTTTCTCTCCTTTACCTGTAGTCCCAATGTGTGTGCTGTGCTGAAGCTCATGGGAACAAACCAGAAATACTTGCCAAACTGCAAAATGTGGTACCATAGGAAAATCTGCGGCAAATCAACGTAAGTACTTGAGTGGTTTGAAGAAAATACAGTGCTGTGAAGCAGATGGGTCTCTGGTGGTTTTGGGGTGCTGTGTGGCAGGTGTCCTGTGTTTCTTGTTACCACCAGGCCAAACATAGTTTGCCAGCTTTGCAGCTGCCCTGTTTTCATAGTACCAGGCGTGCTGTAAAAGCAAGAGGTCTATCAAGCCCCTGAGAAGCAGAAGACACTTTGGGGTTTCCTTTCTCAGAAATCTGCAGCAAACCATAGTGCCATTTCCAACTCAGGTCTACAAACCAGATTTTGTCTTTGGTTTGCTATCCTGCTTGCAGGATACACCAAGATTGGAGGAAGTCAATCGCACTGCACGAATGGCAGCACATTATCCTAAATTCTCCCTTTCCCCTTGGGAACGGTCATTGCTCAGTAGTAAAATACATGCTTTGCATACAGGAGGTCCCAGGTTCAAATTCCAACTATCTGCCCCTAAGACTGAGAAAGCCCCCTGTCTAGGGAATTGATGCCTGTCAATGTATGCCGTATTGGATTAGAGTGGCCATGCTTCAAGTAAGTCAGTTTCCTAACACTGGTTTACTTCTGATCCACCCTTATATAAGAACATAAGAAGAGCCTGCTGGATCAGGCCAGTGTCCCATCTAGTCCAGCATCTTGTTCTCACAGTAGACAACTAGATGCCTCTGAGAAATCCAAAAGCAGGACTTGAGCACAATAGCACTCTTCTCTTCCTGTGGTTTCCAGCAACTGGTACTGCCTCTGGTGCTCCTAAATCATTGCTTTGCAAGTTTTAGGGACCTTCTTAAAACCTGCTTTGTGTCTTTAAATTGCTGCTCTGACCTGCATCTCCCTGAAAGATGGTGATTATGTGACTCCTTCTGGCAGAATAACAGAATTCCAAATTTGCAAATCAATTTGTACGCCTGGTCATTCATATGCTAAAATAAACAGTCCTTAGATAATGTTGTCTCAATAATGTTCTGTTGACCTAAAAATATTTTCTGGGGAAAACATGCAGCCACATATGAGAAGCTTTTCTCAGTGTGGGCATCTGCACTACTGGATGTGCAAGGCATCCAATTTTATGTAGCATTTTGAATTCATGGAGCCTCTTGAGTCTGGAAAGAGCTAGTGAGAATGGGGAATGGATGTGGTTGTTGTCAGAGGCAAGTTAGTGGACTGGATAGGTTACTGGGTGACCCAGTCTATTTGCTCTTAACTAAACTTGAGTTTAGTTGATTTACATAGCACCTCCATGTAAATCAGACACAAGATTTATCATGATAATCCCTTTTCCTGGGATTATCCCTTTTACTGCATAGCACAGTGGTCTCTTCTCTTCTTTTGAATTTATTGATGGTAAACTGAGGGGTGCTTTCTGGGGAGATCATTTCCTTGTAGAGAAAATGATTCACACTGTCATGTATGAAAGACATTGCAAGCCTGTTTTGTCATAATTACATGGGTTTGTGTAGATCAAGCGTATGCAAAACTATCCGGCCTTTGTTTGCAGCCCCTTCAGTCGCACGAGGAAGACTTTCAAATCAGTCCGATGCCTGTCCCTGCAGATGTTAGCATTCAATAAACCTTGCATAAAGCACCCTAGGAAAGTGGCCTCAACACGTCCTCTGGAAGGGGCAGTCTGCACCTAATTATGAATGTGTGCAGTGCTGGCTGGCTGCCAGGCATGAGTTGAAGCCTGCTAGTCTTCCAGGAAAGGTGTAACCTCCACGGGGTCACACAAGCTCCAGGAAAAAATGAAATTTGGGGAGGGTGGGCAGAGGGCAGAATGAAACAGTCTTTTTAAAGTTCAAGGAAGACTCCAGACAGCTAAATTCACTTGACTGACTGTTACGTTTGTCAGCAGTAAGTGTAATTTTCTAGATATGCTTAGACAAATGCAGGAATTGCAGCAACAATTTTCCAGGGAAACAGAAGTCACAAGTTATGTGACTAAGTATCTCCTTAGAGGTGGGAAATGACATTGTCTCACAGCATTTTAAAAACTCAGTATCATATGGTGAAAAGAGTGTTTAGCTAAAATTAAAGGCACAGAGTATTTCTCAGGGAAAGGGTGAAAACTCTATCCCTCACCCCACCCCACCCACTTTTTAAAAACTAGGATTTTTACCCCAATGCAGACTTAGGACCAATTTGAATGTTACCATAACAGTGTGCTTGCTATTTCTGCATAGTTGGAAACAGGGCTAGCCTAAAATGGAGCAGAAAATATGGCTGCTCCCTCCACCAGTCAAGGTGCACAGTACCCAAGTCTGGAAAAATTATTTTGAAATCAAATTATGTTGATACAGGAAACCTCAGAAGAACCTCTCTCCTTCCCTGGCAGTAAAAATACAATAGCAATAAATTAAATAAACTATCCATTTGCTGTCCTTCCACAAAACCTTCAAATCCTCTACTTGAGGTGCTTACCTCACTCTGTCATGTGGTTGGGCCGGTCCCAAAGTTCATTGCTGGTGTGGATATTTAGCTTGCAATCCAGCCAAACTTTGTGGATATTAAATATGCAATTCAGCCAACCACTGTGGAGAGCAGAATCCAGTAACTAGAGTAAGCAAGAAGAAAACATTCTCTGTGAACGGAAGTGGGAAGGCTATACTTTCAACCAATGACATTAAAATTAAAAACGTAGAGCAATTTCAAGCAGGCCAGCCACCAACCTAGAGCTGGACTGAGGAATAGAAGAACAGTCAAGCAGTATGGGAATAGATACAGTGCTAAATCTAGCATATCATTAGGCATGCATAAGCTCTTCAGTTTCAGTGGACTTAAGCAGACCTAACTTCTTGTTGGGTTTAGGCTGTAGGAAATGATTTCTTGACGGGATTGTCAAGCAGCACAAGGAACCAAATCCTTATGGTGCTCAAATAGAACTATACTGCTTACAAAAGGAAAGTTGGAATATGTTTGTACTTTTTAAAATTTTGAGGTGATACATAACAGCTCCCCCTCCTGTTCTCCCTACCGTCCTATTATCCATGTCTTGCAATAATCATGACTCTAGGTTGGTGCAACAGCAGATGGCAAAGGAGGTTGGGCAACATGCTGGATGCAGCGACTTGCAATGGTTCCATCTCCCACTGTATTGAGACACATGCAAGAACTCAGGGACATGACCTGGCAATGCTTTTCATAGGCCACTATTTCTTATGCATCTGGGAACTCCCATCAACCCAAGATAGCAGCCATATTACTGTTTACATGACCACTGATCCCATAATGATGAACATGTGAGTCAGCCATCCCTTATCTTGCCAGGGACTGTTTTGCTTCTCACATGTATAAACAAATCAGAAATTGGAGTGAGTTTGGGAACTTGATTAAGAAGTCCCTCTCTGAACTTTCCTTTGTTGACTGTTGAGTTGGAAATCCAAAAGGCATAATGTTAGGCTTGATAGGATTTCAGTGTTGTTTCTTGCAGATGGGCTTCAAAACATGAACTCTTTTACTAAGTGAGCCTTAGGAAGTAGCCCTGAAATTATTAATAAAAAGGGGGTTATGGAATGCAACAGGTAGAAACACGACAAAAGAAATCTGGTTTTGTGCAGAGTGTATATTTTCCTTTCTCCCTCAAGCTTTGCCCTTCCCCAAGTTCCCTGCAATGTCAGTCTATCTTGCATTTTTGGAGTATCCCTGGTCCTTTAGTCAGCACAGTTTGTGGTTTCTCACTTCCTCTATTAAGCCAGATCGCGGATGGGATCATATGTCCATTTACAGCAAGAGCGAGGTGGGAGGGGGCTCTAATCTAATGGTTATATATGATATACCCATTATATATATGATATACCTATTAGCATGCAAATAATCATGTAAACAGAACTTTAATATCAGCTGCCGTGTGTGTGTGTGTGTGTGTGTGTGTGTGTGTGTGTGAAAAATAGAGAACTTAATTGTTCTCCAGCAGAATAAACTGGAGATTCTATACTGCGCTTCTTTGTTGATGGGAGAAGAGGAGGAAAAAAGGATGGCTCTGACACAAGCCCTTTGCTTCCATTCAGTTCCATAATGCAATTACTCTTTGATCCGAGAAGAATGTGGCTGTCCATACTGTGCAGCTGGAGGGTGTGTCTCTCATCATGTACATATTTTCCTTCAGCACGGATTTGCAAACGCATTTGTGATGAGCCATTGGGCTAAAAGGGAATTTTATGATCATTCAGCAAAAATGTTGATACTAGAATCATAGCAGTAATTGTCTGTCTAGCACGGACTTGTCCAAGCTTTGATGAATTAGTATATTTAGAGGAGAGTGCCACGATACGAGCAAACCATTTTTGGGGACATTGAGCTGGCTGTAATTTGGGGGATCAGTTGAGCATTTCGATTCTCCACAATACTGATATGCAGGGGGGGGGGGTGCTACAAGGCATGCTAGTCCTGCACTTGTCAGGACCAAATTAGGTTGCACACCCCACATAAAGAGGCTTCCTGCATTTATCCATATCCATATAGACCCACAGGATTCAGCCCGCATTAGAGCATGCCTGAACAGGAATGTCTTAAAGCACCTTCAACGTGCCAGCAGGCTTGGGTAAATTTCTCAGGGCAGCCTTTCATGCTTTAACTGTGTTCTTTGGTACAGATACATGATCACAAAATGCATGTGCTGTGAAGCATACACGTATATAAAGGCAACTGCCTTTATATGGAAGGAGCAACTGAGAAATGACTAGGCTTCTGTTTCTGTGTATTTTTAAGGATTGTGATGATTTGTACATTCTTGTACTCACTCGTCTGTACTGACATGCTGTTTACATATTTTGCACTTGGATAGAAAGAATAACCCAGCCTGACCCCAACAAAACAAATAATACAACCCCAACAACAAAATTACATGGCAGAAAAGACCTTCTTCCTAGGTCCCTGCCTAGCTGATCTCCCTAGCATAGGGAGCTCATATGGGAAGAGATGCTCTTGGGACATTGCCAGTAGCACATTGAGAGGTATATAGTGCACCTGCAGCTTGCTGATGTTCAGATGTACTTTAAAAGCAAACAAACCCCTGTATCTCAGTCTCAATTATTTGGGCCATCAAGTCAAGTATATCTGGAATAAGACGTAGTTCAACATTGTATAGGAAGCTGCCCTATGCCGTGTCAGACAAATAGTCCATGTAGGTCAGTATTGCCAACACTGATTGGCAGAGGCTTGCCAGGGTTTTAGACTGGGCATTCCCAGCCCTACCAGGGCTTGACAGAAACTGAACCTGGGGCCTTCTGCATGTAAAGCAGATGCCCCACTGCTTAGTTACAGCCCTTCCTGAATATTTGGTTCAACTCTATAAAGAGTTCTGTCTATTGTTGTTGTTTTTTTTAAAAAAATCTGTATTCCACCCTCCCCTTCTATTTTCAAACAAGAAGCTCATTTCAACACTTGTCTACTGCAGAGTCTCAATAGAGTCTAGCGGTTATGAATCACTGGCACAGACACAGCTAATGTAATTAGAAACATTTGCCTCAACAGGGTTGCCCTCTCTGTGTTTCCCTCTGGATGTCCTATTGCAGACTATTAATTTGGAAGACATTTAAAATGTCTGCAAAGAAGAGTTGCTGATGATAGGTGTTCTCTCCTTCATATGTGAGGGTGGGAACATCTGCCAGCCCAAAGAATATTAAGTTAGATGTATAGAATGTGGGTTCAGATCCCTGCTCAGCCACAAAGCCACTTTGGTTAAGCCTATCTGGAAGAGCTGCCAATATAATAAAACAAGTGGCACATTATGACATGCTGTGTGTGAGGTAGCACACAGCCAATTCTCACTCCTGTCACCAGGTGCTGTGGGGCTCCACCCCACACCAAGCAATGGCACCATGTGGCACTAGGGCTGTTGGTTGGAACTGTGGACGGTTGCAGCTGAGACATTCACACAACAGAAACTTTGTGGCCCAAAGAGCCAGTCTCGTGCCCTTGCCTGATTGGTACATTTTTCCATGCCTTCTGCATTTATTCAGTGTGGGCAACTTATCATTGAGGGAGTTACCATTTTATCTTTCTTTCCTGCTGGACATTGGCCTCCAGCCACTTGCTTGCCAGCCTCAAAGTATTTACCCTCCAGCTTTCATATCTGCTACATATAAAGCTCTCTGAATCATGACTTGTCCATCAAGGTGAGCAACCAAATATGTTTAATTACTGTTCCTACAGGTTTCCTGCAAAGCTGTTTGATGCTCAACCATCATCTTTCTTTCTCTTGTGAACACCACTCGCCTCATTATTCTTGTGCACATCTAAAAGCCCACTCCACATATCACTTGTGTGAATTCTCCTACCCTGCCAGCCCATTTGATGATATTCACAATGATCACCAAAGCATTATAACCATCTCCATTCCTACCAGCCTTCTTGGATGTTACGTTCTGCAGAGGTGGCTTTCTTAGTAGTTCCACTACCCTTAGAATAATATTCTAAAATGTATGCATAGTTGTATGTGTTGCGTGGCAAGGTCCCAAACCCTCCTGGGAAATGGAATAAAGAAACATGAAACAGTATTTTAGGTTAATGGGTGAAAAAGGCCACAACTTTATTGGTTACAGAATGTGAGTGGTACTTTTTTCCCATAACATTTGAAGAACTGCAAAGCTAGAGTATAACTGTGTTTTGATCTCTATATTAAACTGGGAAGTGCAAATCAGAAGGGCTTGCTTAAAAATGTGGGCCATAAAATAAAAAAATCCTTGGGCACCCCAAAAATCAGCTACTTTGAAATATGTATGGTAGTTGATGTGAAGACTTCACTCTGCTGCCTTCATAAGGCACAGGACATTCTTTTGGATATTCAGCATTTTGAATGTGCTCTTATGTTGGAAGTAGATCTGATACAGAAGTTGGTTTGTATAATTGTCAGCCTATGTTTGGATAAGTTGTGGATAAATTGGCCTTAGAGCAGAGGCAGCTTATGTGACATCATGGTGTTTTATTAACTGTACAGTGAAAGCAGAGCTCTGTTTGGTTAATTATGTAACTTTCCAGAGTTGGATACTGCAGGGAAAAGGAAGATTCCCCCCCACACCGCCCCCGCTGATAGATTTATATGTGCTTTATGTTTTGTTTTGCCCGTTCCATAGCCAACCTGGAATTATTTGACAGCCTGCCCCACAGAAATGTAAACAAGAATAGCTTTGCAACTTGATAATTAGAAATGAGATTTCATAAAACTAGAAGTGGGTGGTTTGTCCCTTCTGTCCTTAGGGCTACTACAGACAAGCACCACTGATTCCCTTCCCTTCTACAGTCATGCACTTTGGTTCTTGAACATGTACAAAAAATAATCTGCATAATTTTATTTCTGCTTTAGGCATCCTTATACTGCTGCTGTTTCCTGAAGCTCATGGGGCCACCACTGTGCTCACAGACAAGTCAGGTTCTTGTGTGGACTGCCATGCCTCCACTGGAGGAGTGCGAGAGTGGCTGCCATTATTTACGTCCTTGCGGATGTGGCTCCATTGTTCACATCCCAGCCCAGGGGCAGCCCCGTGAGCTTGCAAGGCAACTAATGAACCAGCCCTGCAGCTGCTGCAGCCACAGACATTGTAGCTGCTGTCTCTATGCAAAGCACTTATCGTCATCAGCAAAGCTTCTTTATGTTGTCATGTATTCAGGTATGTGGTTTCATGAAGAACACAATGGTTACTTGTTTGTGTGGGAACCAGCCCTTGGAGTTTCATGATATTAGATCCTTTTTTAAACAAACAAACAAACAAACAAACAAACAATGTGCTTCATTGCTGTTCTCCTGTTACTTTTGAATTTATATCCTTTTTTAGCCACATGAAAGGATTTTTCCAGCCTTGGGGTGGGTGGTGATGATACTGTTTTTGAAATCAAAATATGTGGATTTTGTTACAACAAACTATTACTCATGGATCTTGACCAGTCCGATATGTTTAAGCTTATTTTTATTACTTCAAAATTTCATTTTAAATTAACTCTCAGATGCTAAGAATAACTGGGAGGGGAAGCAATGGCCAATACAAGCAAGGATTTTCCACACATTTTGAAGTCAACCTCTGATTTACTAATGGAAAAAGATTTCCCTTAAAACCACCCACCAAATAAGGCAGGAAATGTGGGGTTAGAAGCCATTTGAGTATATAGGACAGACACTCATGGTGTAAGCAGGTACTTATAGGGGAGTTGTTGACTTAGTTACATCTCAGTGGAGCCAAACATTCAAATTATCACTCATTGCTAATCAGACATCATAGGCACAGTATATAAATGTATCACTGTTCACAGAATATACTAGTGATTTGTGCAGCTTGTTAATTCTGAACACTGGGTCCAGTGGTCCTCTAGGAACTGAATTTGGTGCTTTCATTTCATTTAATTGCTGGAAAAAAATGATGTTTCTGTAACCTTAAGAAAGAAAAACCTAACTTTTCTAGCCTCTGTTAGTTTGTATGGAAGCAGAAGAGAGCAAAATCTGTTTAGAATATCCCAGAACAATTGGGTAAATAAAACATAACAATGTTTTTATAGAAAGAATGTGAAGAAAAGAGGCAAATAGTGTAGAGTAATTATGGGTAATTATCACCCTTACATGCATTTTGCTTTGTGTACACACAGAAGAATTGTGTGTCCAATCATGGGAGACAATTTGTATTCTTGTATTATTTGAAGTGTTCATTTGAGATGATTTACTTACTTCTGATGTGTATGGGCTTTGGAAGAGTGATGAGTGGCCAAATATGATTGTTATCGTGATTGGTTATGTTGAGCGTGCTCCAACTATAGTTAGTTATACACTGCAAAACCCACAAAAGGTGATTGATTTTATGATAAATTGGGGGGAATTTTACTGTTGCTTAGCCTATGACTGAGAGAGGCAGGCTGACCGATTCAAAATAAATAGGGAGTAGAGAAGATCAAAAATATTGCTTTGTTTTTGTTAATGTTTTATTTAATGGTACATATTTCTGGGAGCCAGGAGTAACCCAGAAACCAGAAGGTCAGTGCTCAGTAACCAGCATATCAGGCTGAGAAAGGAGGCAGGAGCTAAACCCAAGGAAGGAGGGAAGGGAGTCAGAGGAGATAAGATTCTGACCCTAGTGGTCTGGAAACCATCAAGCTATTACTCAAAAGCAACCTTGCTATGACACAGGGAACTCAATGCAGCACAGAGTTGGGCTGATCTGAGACCACAATATAATCTACAAGAAAGGCTGATTAGAGCCCAAACCCACTACAGCTTGAACTGGGAATGTCTGAACAGCTGATCTAAGTGCTTGCCTTGGCTGTGATGATGTGCTGCAGCAGACGTAATCAACAACTGTATGGTCACAGGCTGCTCTGTTTGCAGATAAATGTTTGGAGGCTGGAAGCACCGTATATTTTGCTGTACACACTGGCTTTACCATTGGGTCAAGGAGAAGCTCCTTTAAGAGATGGGCTGGAAGCTGCAAGAAGTGAAGGGGTGTGAGCAGCTGCAGAGAGAGGGAATGAGGTGGGACGGGATCAACCCAAATGGAAGTCTCCTGCATTAAATCAACAATGAAATGCTTCTCAACCAGGAGCAACTGGGGGGAGAGGCATCCCCAGAACTCTTGGCAGCAGTATCACTGCTGCATATTGCGGTGGTTGAACAAAAGACCACAACACGATGGCCAATAACAATGGCACTAAACACTATTTATAGACTAATGCAAATGAACAGAAATTGCAACCAAAGTCTCTAAATCTTCTTCACCAGTCGTGGTAGAATCATACAAAAGTTTGATATATTCATAATCTGCCACCAAATATCGCCGGAACAGAAATTATTAATTCTTACAAGTCTGGCTGATGAAGAATTGATCAAGATTGGCTGATGATGCATTGAATGAAACAGATTGGGTTATCCAGAAACTCTGTTCCGGCGATATTTGGTGACAGATTATGAATATATCAAACTTTTGTATGATTTACCACGACTGGTGAAGAAGATTTAGAGACTTTGGTTGCAATTTCTGTTCATTTGTATTAGTCTATAAATAGTGTTTAGTGCCATTGTTAATGGCCATCGTGTTGTGTCATTTTGTTCAGCTTGTCTATATTGCAACACAAGGGTCTGTTTATGGCATATTGCGGTGGGGCAGGGTGTCAGCGAGGTTGGGGTGCTGCAGACACTCCCACCAGTATACCCAGACCACCCCAAACTCACTACCATCTGGACCTGCAATTGTAGCATGATGATAAGCTGCTTGCCAGCACAGAGGTGGATCGGGATATGGAGCACACATTCACAGACACAGCATTACTCAAATATGTACACCTTAGCTTTACATACCAGATTCAAAAGCTATGTGACATAACTATAGCGGCTTATAAATTGTTGCTCTTAGTTCTTTCAGGCCTCTTGCCAGTTGCTTTGAAGCTGAGGTCACTTCCACCGCTTCCCCTACCCTCTGCAGGGTCTTCCCAAGGAGATCCGTCCACGTTTAGACTGCCCTCCTGAGTTTTGTGTACATTAGGTTCCTGGCCTATTAGCCGCACTTCATTAACCTCCCATCTCTCTATAAATAAGCCTTTGGGAAACGACGTCAGTTCTCGAGAATTCTTTAGGTTAAACTTTGGGTGGACTTGCCTTTAATCATTTCTTTGTGTTTATTCCAGTTTTGAACCAAAGTGCTGTCTAGACTTTGAGAGAATATACAATTGGCTCTTTTGTGTCCAAAAAGAACAATTAAGGAATACAAAGTATGTGTGTGTGGTTTTTTTCTAAAGAGAAAGTAGGGTAGATGAGATTGAAAAGTTGTACCAGTGGGGTGTTGAGATCTCTAGAAGTCAAAGAAAGCTATTTAGCCATTTCCCACATGGAATATATAATGTCTAGACAATCAGTCTGGATTTTTTGGTGTAATATTGCTTGGAAACTATGACACATAATTTATTTGCTTCTATAACTCATGTACAGGTATTTGCTACATGCTAAATCTTAATTACCTTGAAGAACTTTGTTTCATTCAATAGTTTCCCCTGTTCATTTTTATGACATATGAAATAGTTTTACCCTTGACCTCCCTCCCCAGAATATATATATAAAGAGAGGGATGTGTGTGTGTTTTCTTGGGTATAATTCCTTTCAACCAATTTTACAACTCAGGTCAGCAGTCAACACACTATTATTCTTTGCATTTTTGTCATGGAATTAAATTGTCCAGTCTCTTCTAAATGTTGTAAAGCTAGAAATAATACAACCCTGGGGAAATCATGAACCTGCTTTCCTTATGAATATTAAAGCATGGTCTGTTGCTGCCTTTAAAAAAAATTGCATTAATGTAGGAAGCATTTTTTGTAAAGTGAAAAAAAAAAGTTGGTACATAAATTGTAGCTTAATTAAAGTGTGGTCTACTATGGTGACTTCATTTAATAGCATTCAAGAGCAGAGAAAGAGCAAGCCAAGAGCTATTAAATCTATCAGACAGTTCATTAGTGTGTGCAATTGACCAGCTTCTGTTTTTTCTCTAAAGCTTCTGAACACAACTAATTGGCTTAGCTGCTTGGTTTATATCACAGAGGAGCATTTGCTGCTTTACTTATCTTTCTGCTCACAACATAATTGATGTGTCCCCTGTGCCCATCCAAATAAGTACAGAGGATAAATGAGGCCATCTACATTGAGGGAATAATTAATTCCTAATGTTTAAGGCTGAGAGCTCTAATTTGATCCAAGAAAGCAAAAATTGTGTCTCAAGGAGAGAAGTATTATTCCAGAACTGGTGGGCCCATGAGAGAAAACACTAGGTTGCTTCGTTAAGATAATAAACATAATGGAATTACAATGTTATCCAAACAATGATTAAATGTGGTGTACAAGGCCAGTGGTTCCCAAAATATCTTAATCTGCTAACAAAACACAGCACTTGCAACTTCATTCCTTTTAAAGTGGACACAAAAGACTGTTACCAAACACTCTGCTTGTTCTTCAAGAGGCTCTGTACACCACAGCTAAACAAAGTAATTGAGAGCCACAACCCCATACATTGATTCTTAGAAGTAAGCAACACTGAGTTCAGTAGTACATAGTCACAGCTAAGCAAGTATAGAACTGCAGCTTAACATTTTTAAGATTTAAGAAGAAGTAGTGGATTGCTGGAAGCTCCAAGGCAGAGGTGAGGCACCTGTGGCCCTCCATATGGTGTTGAACTACAATCCCCATCAGCACCAGTCAGTATGACCAATAGTCAGGGATGATAGGAGTTGTAGTCCAGAGATATCCCTGCCATAAGGTTTTCTCCCTCTTGGACTACTGCAATGCACTTATCCATGAGGATAAGACTGATACTATTACACTGGCCATAGCAAAATTTCTCTTAGAGGGCTAAAGTTCCTCTGTTGGCCAGTAAGGCTACCCCTACAGCTTAATAACTGCTGATATATACCATAGCTGTACTGTTTATTTTGGGTCTATGGACCGCAATGAAGCCTATGTGTATGTGAATATAGATTGTCTCAGTTTCTGTGTTTATACACCCATGAAGGTGATGGATGGTTGGTGAAGGACCCTGTGTGAGAGATAGGAAAGTGAAGATCTTCCAGGGTGGGAAACTGGGGGAAGAATGGGCAGCTCCCAGATGAGAGCTGGGAGGGTCCACCTCGTTCTGTGTGAGACAAGGATTAAGATCTACCTTAAAGTGATGACTCTGTACTTTCTTTTCTCTTTTTCTTTTTCTTTTTATTTAGATTTTTTAAATTGTATTGTATTATGAAAAGCCTTAATAAAATTTTATGGGGGGAAAGGATTGTGTTTACCTGTTTTTATGGTGAGGAAGTGGTGTATGAATGGAACCTCATAGGTTGTTGCTGTGATTGTGATGTCCAATTTTGGGTGTTGTCATGATGAGAATTGCAAGTAGAAAGGTAATTCCAGTTCAGGTAGGTGTGAGCATGATTACATCTCCAGCTGGGAAACTTGACTTGTATGAGCCATCCCTATAATTGCAGGCAAGCCTTTGGACCACAATATAAAGCTTATATATGAACGGTAGTCAAATGCATAGAATGGGGGTACCTGTGCTACAATTTAAAAAGTCACAAAAGTCACAGTACTGCCTGATTAATCTGTGCTACTTAAAGTTGTGTGTCCGATTGCCACCCCATGCTCCAAATAGCCTTCATGTGAACAACTAGCATGTCAGGGAGGATTACAACCCAGCCTTCTACTTCTAATTTTCTACACACACACACACACACACACACACACACACACACTGCATCATTTAAGCATCATTTGTTACGATTTACTTTAAATTACAAACAACCACACCCATAAATCAGTAAAGAAACTATCAAAACAGAGCGAATGAAACAGCATAAAAGGCTGAAAAACAGTTAACTTAAATGCTTCAGCAAATATTCATTGGCAGATTCATCACCTGATATGCTTGTGACAAACAGCTCACCATTCATGCAGATAATGTGATCTTCCATCTATAGTATGCTGTGGTATGGTCTTTTGGAGCTCTGTGCCATGCAACCAATTGAAATTGGCATGACAGCTAGCCATTGCTTTGACTATGCTGCATTTCTTTCTCGCTGCAGAATGATTACCTACGAATGTTGTCCAGGATATGAAGAAGTTCCAGGGGAAAAAGGCTGTCCAGCTGGTAAATCAATTGAAGTACAAACTAATACCTTGTGCGAATTTGGGATGGTGTGGGAACGTCAGTGTATACATTGATTCAGCCAGTGAGCCTCACAGGTAGCTTTCAGTGAGGAGGAGATGTCTTGCCTAGTATAGTTTCCAGAAATTATGATGGGAGTAGCAGCAGGTCATTTAATCCCCAGGCTGCTTTACTCATTACATTTTGGGAGTACAGAATGCAGCCAGTAACCAACAAGGCAAATTCAGTGTTAGTCATATGCAGACGAGATCCATTGAAATCAAGGCACTTAAGTTACTTAGGATTGTTGATATAAATGGGTCAACTAATATTGGATATCACTCTAGATGTAGTTCACTGATTAATGAATATGTGGTGAGCTACTACTCTTCTGGGCCCAAATTATATCTTGCCAACATCTTAAAATGAGCATGGTGCAGGCGAGTTCCTAATATTCAACCCAAACCTTCCTTGTCCCCATCATTCCTGTCACCATTGGGGTTGCTGTTGATGTCTGCATGCAACCTATTCCTTCCATAGGCAAGCACTCTTGGCAATTCTGCTCATATTTCTTTCCCTCCCCCCTAGAGTTCCCAGATCCCATTATTCCCCATTTATTAGTGACTATTACTCATGATGGCTATCTGGAATGTAGGGTGGCATGATGACTACCTGAAATCAAGGGCAGCATGCCTCTGAACATGAGCTACTTGGGGAAAGCAAGAGGGGTGGGGTGTTGCATTCTGTTCCTGCTTGTGGGCTTGCAAGAAGCAGCTGGTTGACCACTATTAAATTTTTTTGAAAAATTATATACCTCCCTTCATTTACAACATAAAACATAATGCGCAATGTATGTCAGTATATAATATCCATACAATACAAAACAGCCAAATAAATACATTTCATAATAAGAAGCAATATCATGGTACCTAATATAGAACAGGCATCATGGATACATATTAAGCAGCAATATCAAATTAGACACAGTTACTTACTTACTTCACTGAACCTTTATACAAGTATAGGCCATCATAAAACATCCATATATAAAAAATTAAAATATATACAAATAGCCATTTGAAATATGTAGTAGCGAGGATTTTCATGCTCTGCGTCTTCCTTCCCATCGCAAAACACCCTCAGGGTGAGTAGAGTCCAGTTTGTCTGCCTCTGCAGCAGTAGCTGCTAATAAGCAATGTCCTATGCACCAAGTTGCTAGTAAATTAGCATTAAAAGTTAAGCAATCTTAGAGGGTAGCCTCAGTTATAAGGGGCAGGGAGTATGAGGTTTGAACTTCACCTCCCTTTTCTTTTCTCGATAACCTGGCTGCGAGTAAGTCTGTCATTGCTGCCAATATGTTTCCTTGTCACTGCCCACAGAGAGCCCAGAATTGCCAAGCTTTATCCTTTATTAGGAATAAAATGCTGGACCAGGTGGAACCTTGATTTGATGCAGCAAGGCAGTTAAGTTCACTGTATCCTGCACAAACATATCTATTGTTATCTCAGTTGCCTCCTCCATGCCTTCTGTCATGTCTGGAACATGCTGCACATTACTCTCTAGTACAGTGGTACCTCTGGATGCGAACGGGATCCGTTCCAGAGCCCCGTTCACATCCTGAAGCGAACACAGCCTGCGTCTGCGGGTCACGATTCGCTGCTTCTGCGCATGCGCGTGACATCATTTTGAGCGTTTGCTCATGCGTGAGCCGTGAAACCCGGAAGTAACGCGTTCTGTTACTTCCGGGTCGCCGCGGAGCGTAACCTGAAAACACTCAACCTGAAGCATATTTAACCTGAGGTATGACTACATGTAACGGTAACAGGACAGACCTTTTTTCTTTTTTGCCAATGAGGGTGTGATTTGCAGCTGAGAAACAGCAGGAGAGGATAAGGGTGCTTAACCCTTATCCACACGCAGACTGCCGGCTGCAAATTGTCCCTCCAAGTGACTTCCCTGCCACCAAATTGTGTCAAACATGCATTTTCTAGGGCAGATGTGAACATGCCCTTGAAAATGCATAGGGAACAAGAAGAAGAAGAGTTTGGATTTGATATCCCGCCTTTCACTCCCCTTCAGGAGTCTCAAAGCGGCTAACAATCTCCTTTCCCTTCCTCTTCCACAACAAACACTCTGTGAGGTGAGTGGGGCTGAGAGACTTCAAAGAAGTGTGACTAGCCCAAGGTCACCCAGCGCCTGCATGTGGAGGAGCGGAGACGCGAACCCGGTTCCCCAGATTACGAGACTACCACTCTTAACCACTACACCACACTGGCTCTCAAAGGCTGCTTAGAAGAGCAGTTTCACATAGGAAGATAGTACGTGGAGAAAGGGTGAAGTTCGCTTTCCCCCTGCTATTTCTCCACTCGCAAAGCAGCTTTTTCAGTTTTAAAAAATGGGTCATTGGGCGATTCTTAGAAGCATTTCCATGTAATATGCATTTTTATGGTGAAGTAGGAAATGTTATGATTATGCTACTGGCTTGTCAAAGTGAAATGTCATCTGTATTATTATTTTTAAACAGCTTTGCCTCTTTCCAACCTATACGAAACACTTGGAATTGTTGGGGCCTCAACCACACAGCTCTACTCTGCCAGCTCTAACCTGAGTGCTGAAATCACAGGCCCTGGAAGCTACACAATCTTTGCCCCAACCAATGAAGCCTGGGCATCCTTGCCTGCCGTAAGAATAAGTGCTTCTTCCGTTTCCAAAACTTGAATGTGTTGAGGAAATAATGAAAAATAGAGGTGGTCTATCCACAAAGTGGGTAGGACACAGTAAGAAGATTGGAATCATTATTTTAAATGAAGGAATAAGAATATTCAGACACCATGATTAAACATCAAAGGTAAAGGTAAAGGTACCCCTGCCCGTACGGGCCAGTCGTGTCCGACTCTGGGGTTGCACATCCATCTCGCTTAAGAGGCCGGGGGCCAGCGCTGTCCGAAGACACTTCCGGGTCACGTGGCCAGCGTGACAAAACTGCTCTGGCGAGCCAGCGCAGCACATGGAAACGCCGTTTACCTTCCCGCTAGTAAGCGGTCCCTATTTATCTACTTGCACCCGAGGGTGCTTTCGAATAAGAATATTCAGACAGCATGATTAAACATCATTATACGTATATTCACATTTAAAAATTGTTATATATTATTTCATCGTTACCTTTTCTAATGTGTTGTTTTGTTGTTCCGTAAACCACCATGATATTGCTTTGAAATGAAAGACAATATACAAATTATTTAAATAAAGGAACTATTGGGATCACACTTCCGGAGCTCAGGTCCTACTTGATGGCTTCTCATAGGCATCTGGTTGGGCACTGTGAAAGCAGCATGCTGCTCCACATGGGCCTTTGGCCAAATCCAGTAGGGCTCCTAATTGCATGTCAAGACCCCCTTATAATAACACCTGGACACAGTATTTTGGGTTAATGGGCAGATAAAGGCCACAACTTTATTGGTTACAGAATGTGAGTGGTATTGGCTTAGACACTGGAATTGTACCGACTATAGCTGACTCCTGCCTGCCATGCAGGTAATCCAGTAAGGGTCAACCACCAATAGGGGGAGTCCTGTTGGGGTCATGGCATGGCCCTAGCCCCTACCTGGGCTTTGGACAAGATCCACACCCCTGGATCCCTTTAACCGAACACCCTTAAAAATAGAGGGGCAGGTGATGGCGACACCTCCCCTCCCCCAAACCAGGTTTTACCAATGCCTAACCGCCAAACCTTACAAAAGTTGTGACGATTGCTACGAGGTAGGTGAAAACAGGGAGATCCCTGGCCGTATGGCTGCTTAAATTAGCCAAGTCACGCCCCCCCCCCACCAGCCGGATTGGCTGGCTGAGGCCGGGACGTGGCTGGAGACTCCCCAATGACCCGGGAGCTTGGCCCTGCTGTGTGCAGGAGGGCACGTGGCCTGCCCGCAACACTGCCCCACCAGTGGAGCAGCTTTCTAATCTTAGTTGCTCAAGCTCCCATTCTGTGTTCTTTAATCCTTGCAACTTCCAAGAGCACTCCTGCTTATCTTTTATCCTGTTTCTTTTCCTGTGCCTCCCATAGCTATTCATAAGAGGGATGATTAGATGAAATTACTTCTCTTGAAGCAGAAAATACGAAAGGCTGCTAGTAGCTGAAAGCAAGATCTAGAACAACCTTTCTCAACCTTGGGTCCCCAGATGTTGCTGGAATACAGCTCCTATCATCCCTAGCTAGCAGGACCCCAGTGGTCAAGGATGTTGAGAGTTGTAGTTAGCAGCATTTGGGGACCCAAGGTTGAGAAAAGGCATTGTATAATTTTATTCACAGTGGGCTCAGTTCATTGGATGGGAGCTGTGTAGTGCAAGTAACACAACTGCTAGCTTGAGGATGCATTCCCCTTTCACCTGGGGAGCTGTAAACAAGAAGCTGCAGTTAAGGAATCTTCCCAGCAATTGTATGTTGTTCCACTGACAAGAGTTGTTAGCCCTCACAATAGGGGGGGGCAGTTGCAGTCCAAGCATATTTCCTTCCTGCTTGCGAGGTAGAAGCAGGTAGAAATAGTCAGGTACTATTAGTCAAGCATTGACATCTATGGCTTTGTGAGAATAAACTCAGTGGAACTGAGTATTTGGTCCCATTTGCTTTTTCTCAGGAAATGTTGGATTCTTTGGTGAGCAATGTTAACATTGAGCTGTTAAATGCTCTTCGCTACCATATGGTGAATAAACGAGTTCTTACGGATGATCTGAAACATGGAACAACTCTCCCTTCAATGTACCAGAATATTGATGTACAGATCCATCATTATCCAAATGGAGTGAGTATTTGGTAAAACTGCAAGGAAAACTGAAACTACAAGGGCAATTGATATGTACCAAATATTATTTAAAGAGCTCAGGATATTATTTTGCTTCTATTTTAGATGGCCAACTTAATTGTTCTGTCAGATGTATTAATATGAACTGGCTTTTCCCAATATAAGGGGTGGGTGATATAACTGAAGGCTTGGGGCCAGCCACCATTATGGCCTCATGTCCGGGAAATCAGTTGACACTTTTAAAAATACGAATAAATGAGTAACTTATTTATTGACTTATTAAAAGGATGAAACTGACTTTCAAACCACTAGGATCCTTCAAGGTGGCTCTCACAGATGCATACAGACAACCTTTAGAATTCTCCCTGTCCCTCTTAAGTACACATAGACTTAATGATAGAGAAAATGATACGTGGAATTCTTTAAACCAGCTATTGACATATTATTCCACTGGCATAATATAATATGTTAATCATATACTAGCTTTAGTTTTTTATTTGTCTGGTCCCTGTGTTCCCCAGATCGTGACAGTGAACTGTGCTAGGTTGTTGGAGGCTGACCATCACGCCACCAACGGAGTGGTCCACCTGATAGACAAAGTCATTTCCACAACAACAAACAGCATCCTTCAAATTGTTGAGCTTGAAGATACTCTTGAAACCCTAAGAGTAAGTCCATTTCAAATATATATCCCAATATATCCTTTGATGCCCATTTAGGGCGAAATCACTTCCTTGAAAACCTATTAACTTGTATCCCTGCTGGATTCCTTCCTTTCTAACATGCCTAATTCCGTTTCTTTTGTATTTATTCAAAGACTGCTGTGGCAGCTGCTGGTCTCGACAGTCTTTTGGAAAGTGAAGGCCAGTTTACATTGCTGGCTCCAACCAATGAAGCTTTTAAGAAGATCCCACCAGAAACCCTAACCAGGATCCTAGGAGACCCAGAAGCTCTGAAAGGTAAACAGCTGTGAAAATGTCTATTGTACATAGATATAATTTGTAAACCACTTTGACTTTTTTTCTACAGTCAAGTGGTATACAGTGGGCCCTCTGGATACAAACTTAATTCGTTATGGGGATCCGTACGTACCCCAAAAAGTCCACATCTAGAGGTGCTGCTTCTGTGCATGTGAGCGGTGCTATAGAGCGTTTCTGCACATGTGTGCGCGGCGAAACCCGGAAGCATACTGGATAAAACCCGGAAGGGTCCACTGGATAAATTTTATAAAATAAATTTTTAGAAAAATCCTGATTAGGAGGGCACTGGAGGTAGGGGAACATCTTAGACTATGTGTTTTGCCAGAAGTCTCCAGCTAGTATATGTGGTCTAATGTTAGTAATGAATCTGGGTCAGATGTATTTCTGGAACTTTGCTATACTTTTTCTTGTGTAATTCACTGATGATTTTATAACTTTGCCATATCTTGAAAGGCAAGGTTAAATGTTAATTTTTCAGGGGTAAGGGGTGGGGAGAAACTTATATTTCTGTAATGGTTCAAAGTGACATACCGCTGACCTCAAATCTTTTCTCTCTGATTTCTCTCCTTAAAGTTAGTAGCAGATGGACATTGTGGTGACCTTGACAGCTGCGTTGCTGCTGCTTACTGGGAAGGAGAAGGGGAGGGACAAGGTGGTGAAGTCCAACTGGTGCGTGTGTACCAGCAGGAGCACCAGATTGGCTCTGCCGGTGCGCCTGCACTGCGCCAATCTCCCCACCATCTCTCCCTCTCCTTCCCAGTAAGCAGCAGTGACTCAGGAGGTCAAGTGAGCACCACCACTCGGCTTTTAAGGACAGCTGACAGAAAGGTCCTCTAAAGAGAAGGCCGGTTTCAATCCCCATAGCCCAGTGCTCTGTTTGCATGACCCGCTGCTATGGTGGTGGCCTTTCTCTTCTCATTCTTCACCCTCTGGATTTAAGGCAGGAATGTAGAGAGAAGGCCATGGAAAGAAGAAGAAGCTGTATTTGTACTGAGTCAATAGCCAGAAGGCAGACAGGGAGCTCAGATGAATGGAGAACTAGATCAGCAATAACAAGCTCATCAGCACTTTCCATGGGGAACTAGATGAGCAATAGCAAGTTGGTCAGCACTTTGAGCGATGTGCTAGATGAGCATTAGCCTGGTTCTACGTAGCAATAGCAAGCTGGTTTTAAAAACACCAAACCAAACTCAAGGCTACCCACTCGCCTCCTAAGCAGGAAACTGAAGCACAAATAAACCAGGTCTTTGTACCTTGAAATGGAGAACAATGCTCAGCACTGGCAGGTCTTGATCAAATGTGGTAGAGGAAAGAAAATTGTGGAAATTTATTGATTAAATCACTCTAGCCGCCCCATAACAATTCTCTGGGCATCTCACACAATGAAATCAATCAGTTTTAAGTTCAGCATAAAGCAAAAGTCACAATGAACTAATTTTGAAAAACCATTACACAATTTAAAAATCAAAACCATACCTCCATTAAAAAGTGTGCATCTGCTTTTGCAGATGAGTGTCCCAAACTCATTTCTTGGCAAAGTGGAAATGTTTTTGGAAACCATGAGGGAAACTTTGTACCTCAAGAGTACAGATTCTCTGGCTAATTTAGGACATTACAATGAAGCTAATTGGCTTCAAAGCTGTACTATTTACTTCCCTTGTCTCCAGCCTCTTGCAATTAGTGTGCATATGTACATACAGCATGTATTTTGTTCTTTTGTGGGGGGCGTGATCAGATTAAACGTGATACCTTGTTGTTTGGTTTCATTTTAATTCCATAACCTATGACACACTGGTAGCAATTTTCAAGCCACTATGTCTTTCCTTTTTAAAAATTTTAAAGAGATTTCCCCTCTTTTCAAATCTGCTTGGTATATTTTGTTTCCACGTAGACCTGCTGAGCAACCACATTTTGAAAACAGCTATGTGTGCAGAAGCCATTATTGCTGGTTTATCAATGGAAACACTGGAGGGGAACATGCTGGACGTAGGCTGCAATGGCGACGAACTGACTCTTAATGGAAGGCCCATCATTGCTAACAAGGATGTCATCGCGACCAATGGCGTGATACACTTTGTCAACGAATTACTCATCCCAGACTCTGGTAAACCTTTTTCTCATTATGATTTTGTCTCAGACAAGATGTGCTTGGTGAGCTTGCCAGTGTGAACAGTGCAGCTTAACCGCCAGGGCTGCTGTTTAGGGATGACCCCCAGGGCCTCAGTTCCAGGTCCTTTGTGTTCGGTGTTGGACATCCTGCCCATTTTTGTAGGTTTTTTCTTTCCTTATAGCATGGCTGAGCACACTGCAGAGCAAAGTGCAGATGAGACACCAGCCAACTTGCCCAGAAGCATCTCTTCATATAAATTATATCCATTTTAAGTACCTTTTAATTATACCTTTTAAGCAACACCCCTGCTCATTGCCATCAATTGTATTCTTTTATTCGAATATATGGAGAATGCACTACAACAACCTGACCCAGTTGTGACTGGCCTAATTCCATGTCAGTTCAGCTGATGTCCCAACTGAGTCACTTGTCTTCCATAGTGTATCTTTCCCACTTCTAAAATGAGGTTATATATGAATGTATTTCACAGAAAGAAAAATATTAAAAATAAGTGTAATGTCAACAAAATTAAGAATCGAAATGCCAGATCTTTCTGGGTTTGTTTTTTTGATAAAGGAAGCAAAGCATGAGCGTTGAAATGGAGATGTAAAATGAACCATAAAGTCTCATTTTTAAAAAACACATAATGAATCTGGCATAGAATACACATATTTTTGTTGCATATTTTAATTTAAAGCTCTGGTCCATGGGTAGGCAAACTAAGGCCCGGGGGCTGGATCTGGCCCAATCAGCGTGTTTTTACATGAGTAGAATGTGTCCTTTTATTTAAAATGCATCTCTGGGTTATTTGTGGGGCACAGGAATTCATTCATTTTTTTCTTCAAAATATAGTCCGGCCCCCCACAAGGTCTGAGGGACAGTGGACCGGCCCCCTGCTGAAAATGTTTGCTGACCCCTGCTCTGGTCATTCATCAGTTACTCCTTCTGTATAAATAATAATGTTGAGACTCATGTTAACATCTTTTCTTTTTAAATTGCAGCTAAAACTTTGTTGGAGCTGGGTCAGGATTCCGATGTTTCAAAGGCTATGGACCTTTTTAGACGAGCTGGCCTCAGTTCGCATCTCACTGGAAATGAGCGGCTGACAGTTCTCGCCCCCATCAATTCTTTCTTCACAGGTAAGCTCTGGCACTCATCTGCACTCTAATCTGCTTAGTGGCAGAACCGGAAGCGTCAATCAACTCAGGACAGAATCCATACTCTGGTGGGCACTGCTGGTTGTGTGTGACAGCCATGACTGAAAACGAGGAGCGATTATAATCCCCTCTGCATGCATGAGCTGTCCCTAAAGCTTCATTTTATTGTTGAAAGTCAATTTGAGCTTGTAAGGTTGCAAGTTAAGGTCACATCTCTTTCTTTTTTTGGTGTTATTCTGGTTCTAATGCATGACTGTAAAAGGGAATGTAAAATGCAGTCGCTTTAATGCATGCAGGATATGCCCATCAAACACAGGACCAGCCAGCCCAGGTTACAGTGTGATATTGGCACTGTAAAGGCATGCTGCTTCCCCAAAGATCATCTTCATTTGCGCTGACTGGTTTCTGGGGAACTCGCAATTCTGCCTGATCGAAAGAATCCACATTCATCTGAATGTATTCATATCAGTGAAATAATTCACATTGTTTCTACAGGGTCACCTATTAATTCATGTACAGTATAGGGGTACCTGGTGTTGATTGAATGAACTTTACAGTGTGTGTGAAAGCACTCTGAAATGATAGATATGGGGGGATGGGAATCCTGCCTTTTGTCTTGTCAACATAACACCCAGTTCTTGTCACAGGAGCTCATTGTGTGTTTTGGCTTTGGGGAATGAATGGGCGGTGTTCAGCAGAGGTGGGGAAACCAAGGCTCTCCCAGTTTCATTGGACTACATTTCCTGTCCTCTCTGACCATTTGTTATGCTCGCTGGGGCTGATGGGAGTCCAGCAATGTATGGAAGGACACAGGTTCCTCACTACAGATTTACACAGTGGTACCAGTTGCTCTGACAGTAACTCTCTACTTAGATGTTACCTTTAGATCCTGCTTTTCCTCTCAAGAACTCTGAGGCTGTCATGTGGACCTCAGGCTATCTCTCGCCCAAGGCGATTAAAAAAATGAGCTTGATCAACATTTGCTAGAACTTTATGACAAAGTGGTGCAAAAGTTTATGCTTCAATAACATTGTTAAGTCTTTGAAGTGCCACAGAATTCTGTGTTGCTTTTGTTACAAAAGCTAAATGGCTATTTCTTTGGAACTGAAATACATTGGCACTAACATGGAGGGAGAAAGAGGCAATGGAGTTTGCTTGGTCCTCACACTGTGGAACCATGAGCTACAAAGGAAACTGTGCATGCTGCACTGAAATATTGAAAGTGTTGACTCGAGCGGCGTTTTCTCTTTTATAATAATAAGCACTTTTATTATTTTTAGTTTCAGGAACTATCAGAGTGATGCACAAGGATGACACTGGTGTGAATCACAATTTCCCCCTCAGCAGGTTTTCTGTGTTGCCACATGGGTTTGCAGATGCAAATTTTGTTTTTGCAGACACTGACTACATTTTAAAAGAAAGCAACTGCCGTCCCTTTTTTTGCGGTGGGGGAGGGGTTGCGCAGAGGACTCACTTTGAAACTTGAATTTTGCAACAAAATTCTACACAACAGCATGCTTTAGATGCCTTGTTATAAAACTATGACTCTTGGCTTTCTTTTGTTCTGCAGATCAGACTCCTACACCAGGCAGGAACGTGCTCCGGGATCACATTATTAAAGAGCAGCTTTCCTCTAAATACCTTTTCCATGGACAGAAACTGGAAACTCTGAGTGGCAAGCAGCTGAGAGTATTTGTGTACCGAAATGTATGTTTGCCATTTAATTACTCCTCCCAGTTTTTACTTTCAAAACAGGGTTTGTTGCTCTGGGTTCCTTTGGGAGGAAGGGTAGGGAAATAGTAGTAGTAGTAGTAGTAGTAGTAACAATCAGTTCAAATAAAATCCTTTCTCCAGGTACTCATACGTAGCAGTTTAAATGGGGTTATTTCATTTCTGTCCTGTGTTTGACCTAAGATTATTCAGTGGGTTTCACAGTAGAACAAGGCCTGGTGATTCTGTATAGATGAACAAGCTGGTTCCTTCCTTTTCTGCACTGGAAAGTTCTTTTCACACAACACTGTATTGATTCCACTGTAGTGTTACACTGAGCTGATTTGTGTGAATGCTCTGCCTTTTAAACCACTGGATCAGCATGCAGTCGAGAGACTGTTAGCCTTGTGGGAATGTCCGATTTACTCGTCAGTTGGTTTTCAAGTACTTCTAGGCCTCATGCCATAGACCAAGATGTGCAGGGTCTCTAGTGTGGAAACTTAAATCGTTTTAAACTTCTGTGATGCTTTGAATTAAAACCCAATCCATCCTGTAGACTCTCTGCATCGAAAATGCCTGCATTGCTGCCCACGACAAAAGAGGAAGGTTTGGAACCTTGTTCAGTATGGAAAAGTTGGTGACTCCCCCTCTTGGCACCGTTATGGATGTGCTCAAAGCAGATGATCGTTTCAGGTGACATTTTTAGTTTGTATTGTTAGCTTGAGAACAGTGACGCGGGAGAAGTGGTTTTGCTTTAGTGAGAGCTTGACGCTGATTATTTCTGCATATTTAATCACATTTTGAATTTTAAAATCAATTATCTGATTTAAACCTTTTATATATATAAAAAAAGTATGGAAGCCAGACATACGAAACTGTCCTATACAGATTCAGACGATTAGTCCATCTAGGTCAATATTGTATATACACTGTATATTGTATTGTATTGTATATACACTGACTGGCAGAAGTTCTCCGGTTTTTCAGACGGGAGTCTTTCCTGGACCTGCCTAGAGATGTTGGGGGCTGATGCATGCAAAGCAGGTGCCATGCCACTGAGATATAGTGTTTAACAGCATGGCTTTTGACTCACAAATAAATAAATTGACACCATTATTATAATATTAAGGACATGATTTTTGAATTATTTTTATTTATAAAAATACTTACGTATCACTATTCATTAAAAAAAACCCCAGAGCCGTTTACCACAATTAAACTGAAAACCATACAATAAAAACCATGTAAATATTTAAAATTGGAAAGCAACTATTGCAAAAGGATATTTTCTTAATGGCCAGCATAAATGTGGCAACATAGAAAAGTTTCTGACTGGTGTTTAAAGGTTTAAACAGAAGGCACCTGTTGTACCTCCTCTGGATTTTATTATGTTTTTAAAAAAATAAATGAATCAAAAGTCCTGATGGGCACAAATAGTTGTGTAGTTCTCTGTCTGTTACTTGGAAATTCTATTTGTGTCTCTCCAGTTCAAGCCTAACTCATACATTGGCAAAGCATTTAAAATTAATTTGAGGCTCTTGCTTGAAAGCTTTTCTCAGCAGCATTGTAGACCTAACTTTTATCTGAATATTTAATCAAAATACATTTTTATCACAGTGATTTTTATTCTCCATGATTACAGAGGACGGGCAGAGCATTCCACCCTGGAGAGGGTTTGGATGAGGTGGAAGGCAGCTCTATCTGATTGTTGCCTCCATAGAGGTCTTTCCTTCACTCATCTAAAATGTGGAAAGGCAGCAAAAAATTCCAGAATCCATCATTTTGGAGAAAAGGAGGGACAGAGCTGGTGGGAACCAAGGATCTACTAGATCCTACGCCGCTTTAGTGAGCTGCAGATTGTGGCAGGAACTTCAGTTCAAGCCCATTTGCTGCATCTACCCTAGTTTTGCCTCTCCTTTAAGGCTCAGTGCTACCCGGCCAGGGTTAGGATTGCCCACAAGTAATTCAACACAGACCAATGCTGCAATTTAATTACCGTATTTTTTGCTCTATAAGACTCACTTTTTCCCTCCAAAAAATAAGGGGAAATGTGTGTGTGTCTTATGGAGCGAATGCAGGCTGCGCAGCTATCCCAGAAGCCAGAACAGCAAGAGGGATTGTTGCTTTCACTGCGCAGCGATCCCTCTTGCTGTTCTGGCTTCTGAGATTCAGAATATTTTTTTTCTTGTTTTCCTCCTCCAAAAACTAGGTGCGTCTTGTGGTCTGGTGCGTCTTATAGAGCGAAAAATACGGTAGATCCTAACTTCATTATAATTCTTTCCGTGTTAAGTGTTTGTACTTTATCTTTTCCTCTTTAATAATAAGTGCAGCAGGCCAGTAGGGCAGTATTAATTCCCTTTTGCAGATCAAGAGCTCATGATTAAAGACAGCAGTGGTCAAGGTTTCTAAGCTGATTGAACTGTGTCGCCTGAATGCAAATAGCACCCAAGCCACGGGGAGGCTTTTGCTCTAATGCTGCAATGGGGAACTTTTTGCAAAGTAGCCAGATGCAAAAGTGGGAAGAGCGATGGTGGGGTGCTCACCTTGGTACAGTAGGTTATATTCCAGAAATGCAAAAGTCAGAGGTTTCAACAAACCGCACACATTCCTCTATCCTCCTTCCAGGCAAGCAAGAAGTATTATCAGAGTTCAAGGACATATTCTGGCCAAAGAAAAGAACTCAGGAGGGTGTGGTCTGTGGCAGGGCCAAAGAGAGGCGCCTGGAAAGCCATCTTTGGCTCCTGGGCCTGAGCGCCTCACCCTGCACTGCCGCTTTAATGGGACATGTGACCTGCCAACACAAAGGTCTTATAGAATCCTGTCCAGCAGTGTCCAGCCAGTTCCCTTTGGGAAGTCTTTAAGAGCTCCTTGCTCTTCCCCAATAATATATTGCAGGCACATCAGGGTTCCCTAAACACAGCAATCCCTTCTGGCGAAAGGAACCGAGAAGCCTACTAGCGCGGGAGTTCTATGTACACGTCGGGACATATATGGAGCTCTATGCTGGACCTCTTTGTTATTTCAGCCGTGACATTTTAAACTGCTCTTTGAAAATGCTTGAGCGTTAAATGCGTATTTTCTCTGTGTATTTCCGACAGCACTCTAGTGGCTGCCATCCAGTCTGCAGGCCTCACAGAAACGCTGAACAGGCCAAGGTCCTTCACAGTGTTCGCACCAACAAACGAAGCTTTCCGAGCCATGCCGCAAGGGGAGCTGAACAAACTTATGGGTAAATGTCTATAGATCTGGTAGGCTGTGGTGTGCGATATTGAGATTACTTACACTGAGTTCCTTGGATAAGTGAGCTTTACAGCATTCTGTGCTATTACAATCTCATATTCAGCTTCTCTTTTGTTTGCTCATCCATGGGATGGAGACAATAGGTTACAAAAGTGGTGGCTCTGGTTTTCACTGATGTCACGAGGAATGATTTGTCCATGAGGTGACAGTGACTTACTATCTACACCCATGGTGAGACAGTTCAGGCCCTTCAAACTTGGTGGGTGTGTGGGTGCACTAGATCCCAACAATTGATCATAATGAAAAGAAATATTTTGCAGAGTTGCCACCCATTGTGCTGAACTTTCCTCCCCTGCTCATCAGACTGCTGCTATGAGGAAGGGGGGGGGGTGTTCTGTTTTTCTATATGCTAGCATGTGTGATTGCAAGTTTAGTTGTGTGAGAGAGAAAGAGCTAGTCTCTGTTCTCTCTATGTGTATGATTATGTTTGTGTGAAAGAGTGAGTCTGTGAGAGAGAGGCAATGATAGTCTATCTGCCAGTCTCTGCCATGTGTGCAATTGTCTGTGTGTGGGGAAAAGACATAGACAGTCCAGACATCCCTTATGCCTCAGTCCTTAAAATTTCGCTCTATAAGACGCACCAGACCACAAGACGCACCTAGTTTTTGGAGGAGGAAAACAAGAAAAAAAATATTCTGAATCCCAGAAGCCAAAACAGCAAGAGGGATTGCTGTGCAGCGATCCCTCTTGCTGTTCTGGCTTTTGGGATAGATGCGCAGCCTACATTCACTCCATAAGACGCACACACATTTCCCCTTACTTTTCAGGAGGGAAAAAGTGTGCCTTATAGAGCGAAAAATACGGTGCTTTTTTGGAATATTGCAGGGGTAATAAAGGAGTAGAAAAAAGGCAAAGAAAGAAGAGTATCAGTCAAGATTCAGGGTTGATAAGATGGACAAACAATAGTAGTGGTGTGGGCTGTAGTGCATGGGTATTTATATGCTACACCCTCTGTTAACAGTGGCACCCAAAGAGGTTAACAAACAACATCTAAAAAACTACTTCTAATATGTTCCTCAAGAGAGAGAGGGAAACCATGCCTGGGCTACTGAAGGACCTAAGTAAGAAAAATGTCATGTGTATGTCTAAAATAGTTGCCACGAATCATAGCAGGGAAGATGGAAATCACAGATGGCCATCAATAAATGTTGATGAATTTTAGCTGGGCTGGTAAGGATAGAGGTGAGATTTTCATAGGCCCCAGGCCCAGTGGGGGGGGGGGGAGCTTCAGCTTGGAAGCCCTATAAGGAAAGGGTATGTGAACTTGTTCAATTATCTTTCATGTAAATATTGAAACATTCTCTTGCCTGATGTGGCTTAGAAAAGAATATGAGCTGTTCTAGTGCAATGGCTTTTCTCAGTTCATGCCCATCCCATTTGTGACATCATAATGCAACATCTGCTGATGGGAGCTGGTTATCCTTTTAAGTTTGCAGAGCAGTAGTCTGCACATTTGCTCTATTGCTTAACGCACAAATAGTTGGTAACTGATTTGTAGCTACCGTAAGTAGCTGTGGAACTGAAACATCCCAGATGTGAACAGCCAAAATGTTCTGAGGCTTTGTAAGCAAAATATTTAGCTTACTCCTCTGAAAGCAATGAATCACCATTGATGGGAATATATAGCAAAGAGCAACTTGTGTAAGAGGAAAAAGGGAAGAAGAGCTGTAATTTCTTGTTTGATCAGCTTTATCTCTTGGATGTGTTACTCATAGCTGCAGCTGGATTTGGGACAATATACAACCTACTTCTATATTTGCTCCAAACAATTCACTAGCGGGGGTTCTAGTCCAGCCCCCTGCTACTGAATTGTTTGGAGCAAATATAGAAGTAGGTTGTATATGACTCTTGTGGTCTTTTCCAACTCTGATTCTATGATGGCAGTATATATTATATAAATAGTATAATGTCTGACTGCATATCATTTCTGCATCTCAGAAATTTCAGTTTCACTCTGGAGCTGAGAGAACCTGGACGATCTGTCCAGAGTTAAGGCTCACACACAAAATTCTGAAATTCATTACCTCCAGTGTTATGCCTTTGCACATGCTTTGCAAAGTACATATATAAAAGTACTGAATTCAATACCAAACCAGTCCATAGATGCATGAGATATGAGAGTGAATTTTCAGCAATATAATTGCAATGCTTCCTTTGAAATTCCAGTGCTATCTTTTAAATGAGGAACTGCTGATTACTTTCTAGCCTAAAACTTTGCCAGAAAGTATACATATTTATCTCATCCAAGCTGTGATTCCAAGTTCACTGAAGACCAGCTGAAACACGAAATCCGTTTTTCATAGTGAGGCCTTGAACCTTACTTGAATGGATTTATCAATGTTGTGATAGAGAGCAAATTTAGATGGGTGTTTGGGGGATCATGATATTTTCTGTTTTACAAATGTGCCTTTGTTGGTAAAGGCACAGAGGAAAAGATCAGTAATGTGTAAAGGCTTATCAAAACAGCTTCAAACATTTTGGTTCAGTTTCACCTGTTTCCAAAAACAGCATCGGGGTTTTCTTTTCCAGTACGTCTTCTGCCACTTTTGGAAGCACTTGCCAGATATCAGATTTATAAGCTGCTATGATTCATTGCCAGTATATGTTGGCATCCTCTTCTGCTTATGGAAGAAACAGATAGAGACAAAGGCATCATAAGCAATGAAGGCACCAGCTGCGGCAGCATAGCAGAAAAATATTGCAAGGAAATGATGTGATGTCAAATGAGCAGTTTTACTATTTAAAAAAAACCCCAGAGCACTACGGGAATCATTGCTGCTGTTAAAGGATAGAGGTTCCAATTATTTTAAAAGCCCTGTGTTTCCCCCCCAAATTGCAGATCACTCAGATCACACATTCATGCATTTGAAGAGCTAAGTCAAATAACTTCAATACATTCTATGTAATACAGTATAGCTGTTTATACTGCATCCTTCCTCCTGCTGCACAAAACACTTCAGCTGCTCAATACTTAAGAGTTTCTTTGCTGGAAGGAATACTTGCCAGCATACATGAGAATCTGAATATGGGCACTCTAGAGATATATGGCTGTATTCTGACTTCATGGAACAGCTGCATACTGTTAGTGGAAGGCGGAATACTCCTGATATTGTCCTTCATCTGTTTACCTCACTATGTGATACTTTGTTTTCTTTCCTAAATACCACGAAACAAGTAAATTGAGCTATAACACATATGTTGGGTCTCTTTCACCCACAGGTAATGCTAAAGAACTTGCCAGCATTCTGAAGTACCACATCGGGGATGAAATATTGGTTAGTGGAGCAGTTGGTGCAGTTGTAAGAATGAAGACCTTGCAGGGTGATAAACTGGAAGTCAGCACTGTAAGCTCAACTCCCCCCCGCCCTTTATCTCTTGTTGTGAAATTACTGAGTTGTTTATATGCAAATACCTTGAATTTCTGAAAAGCAGACAATGGTTTTATTGTTGCATGTCTCATTTCTGTGCTCGTATAATATCCTCTTATTTTTCCTTCCCTGCATTTTTGTAAGAAATCATGCAGGATAGTTATAAATACAAAGACATACTCCTAATATTAGCCAGTTAACAATGTTCACACAAAACTTTACCTCCCTGGGATTCCTTTGTGGGAGGCTGGGAGGGGAAGAGAAGATTAGAAGTGAGCCTCAATTTTGCATACCCTTTCTCCCTCCTCTCCTCACCATGGAGGAAATGTAGCCTTTATCTCACAATGACTGAGTGATCTCATGTTCAAATCTTCTATCCCCTATCCATTCATTCACTTCTAGAAGTGAATAGAGTAGTGGAGATAGTTCAAGGTTTGTCCTGACATATAATCTGAATAGGTACAGGGTTGTCATGGAAGGTTTAGAGGAAACTAGACAATGATGTTTATCATGTCTCTTAAACAAGAACATGAACCTTCAGACTTCACACCTGGACACAACTAAGTCCAGTGCCATCTATGACAAAGCTACATAATGACACTATCCACAGAGGGAGAGAGGCTGGAAGAGAAAGTCCAGTTGTGTGTGGTTAGCAACTACCAACAAAATACACACACTGTCTAGACACTTGTACTGTTTCATAATAACGTTATCTCATTTTAATAACCTTTTCACTTGTCAAAAACACATGCAGTGCTGTTAGCAATCATGGCACGAACAGCTTCACATTGAGCTTCTACTGATACAGTAATTGTGATAGTTTATGCAGCAGATTCCTTGATCCATGGCAGTGTGTTGGGCATTAAGCACAGCCTAGTGCCCCTCACGACTTACGCTGGCCTGGCAGAGCAAGGGACAGCCTGCAGGAAAATAGGAGTCTGCTTGTGGCTGCCTGCAAGGGAGGAACCACAAAAAGCAATCTTACATTTGTTTAACGTAGTCTGCATCCACATTCTTACTTACTGGAATCCCAGGCCTCTGAACACAAAAGTTTGTTCAAGGCATATTAATTAGTTTGTTAAAACAAACAAACTGCTTGGGTGCAGCAGATTTCAGTGCAATATGCTGCTGGGTCTTTTGGAGAAGATTAAAAAAAAAACCTCTGCATATTTTCTCCTCTAGAATTATTTCTCCTAGCATATGTTTCTGATGACTTATCTCTGCTTCTTTTTTTCTCTTAAGAAAAACCACATCGTAAATGTCAACAAGGAACCTGTGGCCGAAGCTGATATTATGGCCACTAATGGTGTGATTTATGCTATGAATACTGTTTTACAACCACCAGGTAGGTCAAGTTAGGTTCAGGAATAAAAGAGATCTCCACCCCCTCCCTCAGGTTTGCTTCTCTTTCCTAAGGAGTTAAGGTCACATTATTATTACTGTGGAGCAGCAGTGAAATGCACATTTCCTGTGCAGCAGGAAACAAGTGGCTAATTCTCATCTTCCTGAGAAACATTATATTTTCAGTCTCCAAAGCCCTCATTCACTTCAACAGGGCGCACATGAAGCGTTAGGAAAACTGCATGTGCCATATACGTGATTGGAAACATTGGGAGGGAAGAAGGGAAAGTGATTTTGCAGGGCTGTGAATCATAATTTCCTTTGACAATTTAACAAAAAACATACTGGACACAATATTTTTGGGTGGGTGGGGGTCAGCTTCCATCAGGCTGCTCCTGGTGAGCCAGCTCAAAGGGCTCCTTTGCTCATTGGAGAACAAACAGGATGTTTGCCTGCCTACTCGTCCGTGAGAATGATGGCTCCAGGCCTCTTTACTTAATATGGAAGTGCTGAAGACAGCAGAGTTGGAAGAGAGGCCCCAGGATCACCTAGTCCAACGCCCTGCAATGCAGGAATATGCAGCTGTCCCATATGGGAATCAAACCTGCAACCTTGGCGTTATCAGCACCACACTCTTAACTACTACTTCTATCATCCCTGGCCATTTCCCATGCTTGCTGGGGCTGATGGGAGTTGTAGTTCTGCAAAATCTGGAAGGCTAAAGGTTCCCCACATCCCAACCTATGATCTTAATTGTGTTCTACCCGAAAGTCTACCAGTTTTGGTGGGTGGAGGGCAATGACAGGAGCAGTGGACACCTCCTAAAAATACAATGTACAATCCAGCTGCAGTATTTTCCCTTTCCTGCATATGGCAACAAAGCATTTCTCTTAAGGAAGTATCTAGGATAGTATGTGGAATTTTCTGGGTTTGTGCACAGAAGAGTAATGTTTGGTTGCTTGGACAGACTGACAGCAGAGTTTGAAGCACCTCTATGGAGTTGTTGCCATTGCATTTAGTTTGTTCCATAAATTTGTGTCCTGCCTTTTCATTTGATGCTTAAGGTAGCTCAAGAAACAAAACACCAACCCAAAATAAAAGCATTACAACAGAACGTTGTAATTTGGTGTTCTAAATTAATGGAAGCAGAAAACATCCACATTCAAAGTGTATTTGAATGTTGTTTGAACGTTGTTTGTGTCTTTTAGCTTCCAGGCCTAATGAAAGAAGCGATGAGCCTGCAGATCCTGCACTGGAAATCTTCAAGCAAGCCTCTGCATTATCCAAGGTAAGCATAATGCTCAAGCAGCATATAGAGACATTTCTAATGGCCCTGTATTTGGACATGTACAACATAGATCATATCACTGGAACCTACAATCAGATTAAATTATTATAATTTATTTACTTGTTCCACTTTTAAACTGCCCTCTTCAATTAAGATCCTGGGGCAGTTTGTAAAATATCTAGTCGAAACTGTAATAAAACCACTAAACCTTTAACCACTAATTTTATAATCATCATCATCATCATATTCAGGCTCTCAAAATCAACACAGCAGAGGGCAATGTAATCACAGCAGACCTTGAACACATCAATCTCCTGCAAAGGCCAGGGTGGACAGATGTGTCTTAAGCTGCTATCTTCCAGATCAGTTATACTCACATGTTGTGAAGAGGGCAGGGAGAGAGCCCATGTGAGTTAAGGACTTGGCCCACTGTCTTTATGTCACCACACATAGAGGTTTGCAACAGGAGGTACTCTCTGAACATATCCAAAAATGTGCTTGCTTGGAAAGATCTCCCACTGATTACAGTGAAATTTGCCTGTTTGCAGCACCCTCCTAAAATCACAATCCTAAGTATGTAGTGAACCATACAGAACCAATGGAACTGGTATCCCTGGATCAGATGTGAAATACTTTGTACCAGCTCCCTAAATCATGCTATGCAATCTCTCATTTGGCCATATTTTAATGGCCTCCAAAGTAATGATTGTGGTGCAAATGGCCTCCCCCAGGCACAGCCTGCTTCTCCCAGTTTTCGTTCCATCTTTACAGAAGCTTACGGTGGTAGCAGCCGAGGGCTGAAGTTAGACCTACAGCAGCTTTCCAGGTGGCGCAGGGGGAACCGCAGGGCACACAGATGCTGTTTTGATACAAGTTCCCTTTGGATTAGCCCACTGGTTCCTGCCCCCAGCCCCACAACACTGCTCTGATATGGGCAAAACCCATGCTTACTAAGGGAATGTTTTTGTTTGGGGTTTTCAATTGCACACCAGTTTGCTATAAAAGTATATAAATATTATTGATTTGTTTCATCTGTACAAATGTAAACGTTCTCTCTCTCTTTTCCCCCCTTGCAGATTTCCCACAGGAATGTTCGATTAGGTAAGCAAAACTTTCATGCCACGTAACTTAAATGGTTCCTCTGTGGTGTGGCAGCTACCAGGATTTGTAGTTGCATCCCATGCCTCACCCATGAGAACCATTTGTGTTCTCTCAGAACATGGACATGTTTAATCCACTCACAGGGACCTCCATATATTCCAGGCATCTTCAGTTGATATCTTACGAGTGCTGTGTGGGTGCTTGCCAATGGAAACATTTTTAGCCACACTCTGAGTGGGGGTCATGTATACTTTGGACCCCCTCTGAATTTGCCTGCTGAATTTGCCCCTCTAAATTTGCCTTCTGGAAAGCAATGCCATTCCCTCCTTTCTTAGTGAGGCTTTCCTGCTCTTTGTTTCTTGTAGGCTCTTCAAGGGCAATTTGCTAAGGCTGAGTTGAACAATCAGCTATGAAAAAATGTTTGGGATAACAAGGAATGTGAAATGCCCCAGTCAAAACACAAACGTGTTGGAAGTAGGGAGATATGCTCAGCCATATTTCCCTGTCTCCCACTGCTCCTTTCACTGAGACAGACCACTGGTCCATCTAGGTCAATAGGGATGCAGGTGGCATTGTGGTCTAAACCACTGAGCCTCTTAGACTTGTTGATTGGAAGGTCGGTGGTTCGAATCTGCGTGACGGTGGTGAGCTCCTCTTGTTCTGTCCCAGCTCCTGCCAACCTAGCAGTTCGAAAGCATGCCAGTGCAAGTCGATAAATAGATACCACTGCCGCAGGAAGGTAAATGGCATTTCCGTGCACTCTGATTTCCGTCGCGGTGTCCTGTTGCACCAGAAGCAGTTTTGTCATGCTGGCCACATGATCCAGAAAGCTGTGTATGGATAAACGGTGGCTCCCTCGGCCTGAAGCGAGATGAGCACCGCATCCCAGTCGCCTTTGCCTGGACTTAACTGTCCAGGGGTCCTTTACCTTTTACCATCTAGGTCAGTACTGCCCACACAGGACAGCAGCTTCTCTCTAGGGTTTTAGTCAGGGTTTCTTCCCGGCCCTACCTGGAGATAGGGAACATTGCTTGGCCGCTTAGGCAAGGTGAGGGACATGTTTCCTTTCCCTTGCATAGTGGCCAAACAATCCCTCTCCTCTTGTCCTGCCTGGTCTAGACATGCAACAGAGTGAGGTGATAAAATCCTGAGGCAACAGAGTGGTCTATGCCATTGCAGCCTGCAGATGGTAGATTATATTTTTTGAACATTTCCCCACATTTTAAAATACACCTCCTTTTAAATAAAAGCTAGGTTCTGGCTCAGTCTGTTCCCTGCTCTGCGACAAGGGAGGGCTTGCGGGGTGTTGTTTTAACAGAGGAACATATTTTATAAATGTAATTCCCCCACCTGGAATTTGAAGTAGTACTCTTCATTCTTCCATCTCAGGATGTTGCCACCAAATTCACAACAAATTATGCTGTGTATATAAACGTCGATACCTAGACATCTCATACTATACCCCACTGTGAAGGGGATAGCATACTGTAATATCATATCGCCCAATTCTTGCAAATTGCCATGTTCATGCCAGAGCACTGTGGCATAGGCATCCAGCCTAGTTTAATGAAGCTTTGCAAATCCAGTGAAATTAAGTACAGTGGTGCCTCGCAAGACGAAATTAATCCGTTCCGCAAGAGTCTTCGTCTAGCGGTTTTTTCGTCTTGCGAAGCAAGCCCATTGACGGATTAGCGCTATTAGCGCTATCAGCTGTTTAGCGGCTATTAAAGGCTGAAAGGCGTCGGGGATTAGCTGCTAAACGGCTATTAACGGCTATTAAAGGCTTAGCAGATTAGATAAAGGGGGGGAAAAGCGAAAAAAAATCTCAAGACTCGCAAGGTATTTTCGTCTTGCGAAGCAAGCCCATAGGGGAATTCGTCCTGCGAAGCAACTTCAAAACGGAAAACCCTTTCGTCTAGCGGTTTTTCCGTCTTGCGAGGCATTCGTCTTGCGGGGCACCACTGTATGTGGGAATGTGTGCCTGATTGCAGTCAATGTTCAAAACAAACACTGTAGGCACATTCTAAAGCATCTTTCAAGCAATTCAGTTTTCATTTAGCTGTGAACAGCTTTAGAGAGGAACAGAATAACATAGTGGTAGTAAATGGTTTACTGATTTTAGTTTGAGAAGACCTCTGACTATCTTTTTGATGCAGCCATAGATGATTAATGCAGTTGTGCTTATGACAGCATCTCCTTCTCTCCGTTTTCAGCTCCTGTGTATTCCAGATTGTTAGCCAGAATGAAACACTAAAGCAACAGCCATTCTGTATATGTAAAGCACAACCAAGGATTCAACTAGCTTTTGCCATTGGGTTGCTGAAAAGAAGGACTTTGTTTTCTACAAAACAACAAGAACAACACCCACACATACACACATGCCACCATGTATTACACAAAGGTTATTTTTTTTCAACTGAAATGAAGGAGAGAAAATAAAAGCCATATATATTTAAACCATTGTTTGATAAGCCTAATTTTGTTACAATTGGTAGCTGAGAATTCAGGGAGCCTCAGGTATGTGTGTCTACTCCAAAATTATTTAGGCCCAGCCTCCAGTTGTGCAAGAGCTAAAAATGACTTTGATTGCAAGACACGCTAAAATTGATCCCTCTCTGGTTAGTATTTAATAAAAATGTTTAAAGTTTGCATGCGCTGTCAAGAACTGCACACACTGGCTTATGCTCAGAATCCTATTGAATATCTGAGGCTTTGGCTTTAGAAAAGGGAGTTATTCAGAAATGCAGCCTGAATTAGACTCAGGTTGGCTTTCAATTGCTACAGTCTGTCTTCATGGTTTTGAGTGCAGGTACGTAGACCGATCCTGCACTTTTGCACACAGTCACTGCTAAAAACCAAGATTTGTGAAGCTCATTTGTCCAAACTGGCCCTTCACATTCTTGAGGGTCAGTGAGATGAATGGTCCATTTTCTATAAGGTGCTAATAGTAGTATTTTCTTACTTAACACAGTTTTGTCGTGAAATATTTCAGAAGATAGCCACAGAAGCATTTACTATTCATTTCTACATGTATAGGGGTAGGTACAGATGGATCGTGAGTGGTCTCTGTACCCTGGTGCTTTTCTTTTTCTTTCTTTGAAAAAACAGAGTTTTTAAAAGAGTCTTGCTTTAGAGTAATAATCTTTGTGACTTTTCCACACTTTATGGTTTGAGGCTTGCAAGCTTACAGATAGGATATTCTGATTTGGTCTCTCATAGTTAATGGGGTTGGGTGGGGCTTTCAACTACATTTTGAAAATGAAGGCAACAAGCTTCATAGCAATTACGTAAAATCTTAATATCGTTTTTCAGAGCGCACAGCCTAGGCATGACTTAGACATAAATTTGTATGTGGATATTTTAAGGGATGTAAAAGTACAGCTTGTGCCTTCAATTAAAACTGGCTATTTAGGTCACAATACAGGGGCTACAGAACTAGCTCCCTACATGCTGTGGAAGCTTTCTCATTCATCCACCCCTGATAGAGAACAAAACCTGTCAGAAATTCAGGAGATTTTCTTTAAAAAGGGGGGAGTTTCGATGTAACGTACACTTACAAAAAGCTGCCTGTGTGTGGACAAACTATCACACATTCTAACACAAGCTCTCAGAATTGCGGCCTGTAGTCTTAAGAGACTTTGCTAGGCACTCTCTGAACAATGCCAGTTGTGTACTTCAGCAAGAACATGTGGTTTTTATTTTCTTCCCTCCTGTGCTTTGAAAATGTTCCACACAATTCAGTGTCTTAGCTTTTTTTTTTTTAAAGCCTCATTGATGATATTAGGGAATTTGCATGATATAAGCTATGGTTTGATCAGTGCTGTCAATTAGCTTTTGTTTACACATATGGTTCTAACTTTAATATCTTTTTTTCTTCCTGAGCCTGGCAATACATCCTCTCTGTAATGTGGTCATAGAGCAATCCCTCATCAAAACCTTCAAATAAACAATTCATTTGTGATAAAACTTGGGTTTTCTTTTAAAAATATAAATTGACTGTGTCAGTAATATTACAAGTGACATCAGCATACTTTGTTTAGGGGGACAGTTTTACCTCAGATAGCTTTTAAGAAATCCCATGAGTACCACCCCAAAATACTGCAAAGTCTTTTTGCAGATTTTACACATTGTGAAACATTTCTTTCAGCCATTTACCTCAGAGTATTACCTCACACTATCCTGGCAGTGAGGAAGTAGGACACTGCCATCTCAGTTTGCACATGGTAACTTATTTGTTTGACAGTATCTCCATCTGAAAATTACAATGTTCACATTTCCTTGTGCTTTGCAATGTGCCCATTTTTCGATTATGAACGTTTCTAAAGCTATTGAAAAGCCTGCAATGTACCACTCTGGATATCTGAAACTTCAAAAATGAATGGCTATCTTGATATGGCAAGTTTTGATACAAAGCAGTCATTTTCAAATGTGGACACTTTCAAGCATTCAGATTCAGATATGGGATGGCACAGAGGCCTGGCAGAATTGGCAGGGTCGGGGGGTGGAGAGAAATTGAAAGTGTTGCATAAATATTTTACAATATTCTTTGTTTAATTTTTGGGACATATTCATGAGATAGCTTAAAGACACCCTTCACCCACTATTTATTTATTTGTAAGTATTTGGATTAATTATTTATAACTCAAAACAACTACAAAAATGTGATTAAGAAAGTTTTTTTCAAAGATAAAAATAAAGTAGCACATGGTTGGCCAAGCCAGGCTTTCAGCAATTATCAAGAGCTTTGTGAACATGAAACACAGTTGGAGAACAAGTATTTTGTTCCCAGTGTTTTGTTATCCGTGCATCAAACTATTCTGTTGATTGCATAGGTGCCATATTCATGAACATGCTATGGTAATGCTACCAGCTGGCACCATTAAGAGCTCATTTGCCAGGTACTCCAGTAAATGCCTACCTCTCCCAATGACACTTAGCTCAAAGGACTTTTGTGCATTTGTAGTCCTTCCAAGAACTCTGTAAAGTAGGGCATTATTAACATCCCTGCAAAGCCAGGGCACTATCAATTAGAAATCCTTGCAATAACCCTGGAAAGTAGGGCACTATTAATCAATACCAGCTTACCCAAGATTGCCCAGCCAGTCAGTCAATGCTTCAGCAAAAGTTTGATTCTCTTCCTTGCCTAATTCATCAGTCATTATGGTGTAGTACCACCTTTAGATTCCCACATTTAAGGATGGCGCTGGATTTCTCAGTGACACATGTCCCTTCCTACTTAGAATTTATTGACAGAACCTGTGGCCTTTGAGATGCTGTTTGACTCCACTGACTATGCTCCTGGAGCAGATGGGAGTCAAAGTCCAGCAACATCTGAAGGGCCACAGGTCCCTCACCCCATTTTAAAGCATTCTGGTGTGCACAAGAATCGGAATCAAAGGAAAATTGTCAGAATCCTATATAGAACCAAGCACTTCAAACAGGAGTCTGCAAGCCACATCCCAATGCCTCCCATGGACCTTGCCATTGCTCATGCTAAGCCCTGGAATCTTGCCCTTTTCCATACCCAGCGAAACAATTTGCTACGACACAGTTTGACTTAGTATTACGCATCCCATTCAAGGGACTCCCATGCTATTTTTCAATACCAGATGCAGGTTTGTCCAAGCATACAAGCATAAGAACAGCATGCTGGACCAGGGCAATTGCTAGTCCAGCATCCTATTCTCACAGCGGCCAAACAGATACTTGTGGGAAACCTGTAAGCAGGACCTGAGCACAAACACACTCCCCTCCTGTGGTTTCCAGCAACTGGTATTCAGGAGCATTGTTACCTCTGGCTGAAGAGGCAGAACATAGTTCTTGATAGCCTTTTCCTCCACAAATTTGTCCAATCCTCTTTTAAAGGATCCTCTTCTAAATCAACAACAGTTGAACAGGATCAAGTGGTGATGCCTTCCAAGAATTTCCATATCTGGGGTGGTGAAGGTGACTTTTAAATTGTGGTCTTACTCAATGGGAAGGGAAACCCTTGCCCCCTACCATAAACTAGGAGAGGAGGGAGTGTCACAGAGTAGGCCAGGCTGTTGTTTTTCTTCCACAGGGGAATATTCAAATATAAATGACCTCATCTGAAGCCTGAGTGGCACCACTTGGTTCTTCTCACTGTATAAGCAGACCTAATGTTTACGCAGGAGAAGTTGAAGCATTTCCTTCAAGAGAATACTTCTGACCTCTTAGAGCTACTTCTTTTCCTCATATCCCCAGGAATGGGGATAATAGCATGTGCAATACTGTGGTTTGGAACAAAAAGCAATGGTGCACTGAAGCACAGCGCTATTAAGTGCTAGAGGGATTCCGATAAACAATGGGCGTGAAAGAAAATGCTTCAATGGCTTAAAATAAGAACCGAGTGCTTCCGAAGAAAAACAAGCAGGCCAAATTCTCATAGGAGAAATATACATTTAAGAGCAGAAGAACTATGCCAGAACAGCATAGTTTGACAGAGAGGGCTGCTCTCCAAAAGGAGAATTCTCAAAGTCTGCAGTGTTCTGTGTTCTGGATTAGGGGTGAATGGAGACAAGGTTCCAGCCAGACTTCACAAACAAAAATCAAGCACAGCACAGCAAAACCAAGCTCACAGATGTTCTAAAGGCAAACAAGGAAATGAAAGAGGAACTTTTGAAAAAGGAAGGATTATTCACATATTTCAAAACTAGTCTTAAACATCTATTCTACTGCCAGCTCAGGAGAAGGCAACCTTAAATTATTACGGTGAAATATCAACTCCTATTTGGTTCTAAGCAAGTGAGTCACAAATCTGAAAGTCATTTTTACTCACCTGCAATAAACTGACAAGACAATCCTATGCAAGTCTAGGTAAAGGGACCCCTGACCATTAGGGCCAGTCGTGGCCGACTCTGGTGTTGTGGCGCTCATCTCGCTTTATTGGCCGAGGGAGCCAGCGTACAGCTTCCGGGTCATGTGGCCAGCATGACAAAGCCGCTTCTGGTGAACCAGAGCAGCATAAGGAAACACCGTTTACCTTCCCACCGGAGTAGTACCTATTTATCTACTTGCACTTGACGTGCTTTCGAACTGCTAGGTGGGCAGGAGCAGGGGCTGAGCAACGGGAACTCACCCCATCGCAGAGGTTCGAACCGCAAATTCCACTAAGTTCAATAGGAGTTACTCCAAGGTATAGGATTACAGCCTAACCTGTCGGGTCTATTCAGAGTGCCACTATTATGTCTGTGGCTCATTGCTTATGTATATTAACAAAATCCATTATGGGACCTGGCAGTTTTGTATCAGCATCACATTTGTGACTTGTGTCCATTTGGCACACTGGAAGAACTCTATTTTTTACTACCATTTTGTATCCATGCTTATGAGCTTCCTTACTCTATGAGGCACCAGCAGCTGATAGCATCTCCACTTTTTGTTCATGTAGAATTTGTTATGATCAAATTCATGGCTCATAAAATTCATGCTCCCTAAAATGGCAAAACCCTCTGGGTCAACACTGTTGCCTTTTTAACTATACGTCTTACCACTCCTCTTAACCCTGATGTGTGAGGGTATTCGTTTTACCACTAGGGACGATAATACAGGGGCCACATTCACTCCCATCTGCAGCAGTATGGAAGCAGATCCTCTCCCTTCTTGCTAAATTCTAATTGGGTGGACATGACCCATGTGACCCATCCTATCCACTGACATTCACCTGAGTGGTTACATCATTTGCATGGTAGAGTAGCAGTCTTCTTCTTCTTTGGCGATCACTCATAGCTGAGTATGGGGACGCGGGTGGCGCTGTGGGTTAAACCACTGAGCCTCTTGGGCTTGCCGATCAGAAGGTCGGCGGTTCAAATCCCCGCAACAGGGTAAGCTCCCGTTGCTCGGTTCCTGCTCCTGCCAACCTAGCAGTTCGAAAGCACGTCAAAGTGCAAGTAGATAAATAGGTACTGCTCTGGCGGGAAGGTAAACGGCGTTTCCGTGTGCTGCTCTGGTTCGCCAGAAGCATCTTTGTCATGCTGGCCACATGACCTGGAAGCTGTACGCCTGCTCCCTCAGCCAATAAAGCAAGATGAGCGCCGCAACCCCAGAGTCGGTCACGACTGGACCTAATGGTCAGGGGTCCCCTTTACCTTTACATAACTGAGTAAGAGTAGCAGTCACACCCTTTTAGCACCACCACATAGATAATGCTATCTATGGTGCTAGTAGTCCACCTAGATACACAGTTTTGAAAATCTCAAATTGTGCAATTTTGCAATTTTATTATTTTTTTAAAAAACCAAAACAAGTGTAAATAAATTATGCAAATCATTTGTCCATGTGGAGTGCTTCCACGTGACATTGTTTACATAGCAGAGGGGAGCAAAAAAACATGGTAAAGACTGGTGGCACCTAAGAATGAACCACCTCATCATATGTTAATGTACCACAGAGTAGGACTGTACTGCCCTTCTGACCTCCATCTGGTTGAGTCACAGCAGCATATTGGGATCCAGGGGTGCAGTGGTGGTGAGATTGTTGTGGTACAAACACACCAGTGCCCTGGACTGGCTTTGCCATTGCTCTGCCCTTCTTCTCCTCTCCTCTCATCTCTGTTTAACGTTCTCCTTTCTTTATGTGATGGACTCTCCACCAACATTCATTATAAGCCATCTGTCGAAAACCGGGAGGAAGCTCCATTTGTTTAAAACATTGACCAACAGGGGAAAAAATGTAATTCACTCAGATCAAAACAGCTTCTGCTATTGTGTTCTCTATGAGAGGATTCCAGAGATTTATTGAGGATCATTCCTTGCCAAGTTCAGCACTACCCCAGGCTCCATGCCTGTGAAATACTTTGTTCTTGGCACAGACACCTCCATCAGGGGGGAAAAAAAATGCTGGAAACCTTTATGCTCTCAAGAGGAGCACAAAATGTCAACTGTAGCTAAAGTGGGCTTCAGTGAAGCAATCTCCCCACCCACCCACTTTTTCCTAACAGGAGACTAGATTTGTCCAGAGACATTTGTGAGTCTGGGCTACTGAAATATACTCTGAGTCGAGAGTGGATTTCATGCTCTTTATTGAGCTCATAGTGGTGAGGAGGAGTGAATGTCCCCTCAAAGTATCTGCTTTATATACATTATTTACACAACGGGCTGCATGTGATTGGCTAATTCCGGAATTCTCCTGTAGGCCAATCAGGCTGTGGATTCACTTGAATCTGGAGCCGGATTGGGTGGCTCCTGCAGAGCAATCATACTGCTGCATTCTTCTAGGACCAATCAGACTGCTGCATTTTGGATCCTAATGTTCTAGGACCAATCAGACTGCTGCATCAACGCTTGAACCTCCCCTTCTGCAGAACTGGCCTCTTGTACACATTCTAATACCTATTAATGCAGGTACTAAGCCTGCAGGGAATTAACAAGAGAGGAGATGCCTTGATGATCCCCTGACATCTTGGCTTCACCCATGTTTCTCTCCACACACCCCATGCCACTCTCTTATAACCTTGTTTGCTGTTTTGTAGCTCTTTCAGTTAGCCCCCTGCCAGCATCCCCATGGGTCCTGCTGCCCTGTAAATGGAAATTTAGTAAAATCCACGAATGCTGACCCACTCCTACCTATTTTCTTTCACAATTCCTCTCCATTGCAGCTTTTATTTTTTCGGGGGGAGTTTGCGTTTTTCTTTGGTACTGATATAAATAATGTCAACAAAGCAAAATTCAATAAATTATTATTATCATTCTTGTTTAAAGCAACCCTAGATCAGGAATGGCCTTTCAGATGTTGTTGAACTCCAACTCCCATCAGCCCCAGCCAGCTTGGTTATTAAGTTCCTCACCCCTGATTTGGATGTTCCTGGTAACTGGAATCATTCAGAGTGTCACTCATTGCAGGAGATTGCTGGGGGTGCTACCTTATCATCTCTGAAACATTATAATTGGCATGGTTTAAATGCCAAATTGAACGTTCATATTTCAAAGTGTTAAAAATTAAAAGAAGTTCAGAGAAGCGAGAATTTTGAAAAATGGCTGTATTGTGGTTCACATAATGTTTCGGAAAGGTGTGAATTAGGTATGTTTGCCTTTAAATGCAAAGTGAAGTGAATTTCTCCTCCATCCCTATCAGTGACATTATGTGCCCACTGATATATCTAATGTATATGTTTTAATACGCCATTATCAGGCAGTACATCAGGATCCAATGGTGGATCATCAGTTATCAGAATATTGCTACCAGAGGTAAGGACAAGGGGTGGGGGTGGGGGCAATATGTAGGACCTCTAGGCTACTGAATGGGATAGTTGAAAGGGCTATCAAAAGGGAACATTTCCAACAATGAGCTTTCTTAGTTAAAAAAACAGAAATGGTCTAGAACCAACCATCTTTAAAACAGCATTAAATGAACTCTTTTTATTACAGATGATCTCCTCCCTTAAACTTTTCACTGCTGTTCTGCAAATGAATTTAACTACAGGGAAAGAAACTAGCACAGTGTCCTGTTCCAAGAGAAATTCCATACATAGGGGACTTCGATTGTAAAGTGTGCGTTTTCTCAGCCGTGTGGAAAAAGTGGAACATTGTTTTCCTAGTTTACAAAGAGGGCTTGGAGTTGATTTGACCCATGGGCTGATGTTTGGGTGGTCGGCCGAAGGAAACCGCGCAGCAACCTCTCTAGCAGATGCACTATTGACATGTCCGTGCATCTCATTAGGAGCCTTCTCAACACTTTGTTGTTGAATGTGTAACAGTGGGAGCATTCATTTGTATTTGGAGGCCACCCAGGGTAAAATAGTCAGCAGTAGGAAAAAGAAAAGGAAGGGCCACGACAGAGGCACAACTCCCGAGATCTTTCAAACAGACAATGAGAAAGGCAAAGGTGAAACCACCCACATGCTATTACAGTGGTACCTCAGGTTAAGTACTTAATTCGTTCCGGAGGTCCGTTCTTAACCTGAAACCATTCTTAACCTGAGGTACCACTTTTGCTAAGGGGGCCTCCAGCTGCCACCGCCACACAATTTCTGTTCTCATCCTGAGGTAAAGTTCTTAACCCAAGGTACTATTTCAGGAGTCTGTAACCTGAAGTGTTTGTAACCCGAGGTACCACTGTACTGAGAAACATTATATCACATATATCACACACACAGACAAGCAACAGTCATTATTATGTAGCTGCTATAAATGACCAATCATATCATCGTATAAATGAGTGGAGGCGTGTACCTTTTAGGTCGGACAGCAAAGTGGGGATGGCGGTGTGAAAACGGGAGAAGGCTAAGAAGAAGGCTGAACCAACAGTATAGCGCTTCAATTCATGCAAACAACGAGCACTGTGGTGTTTAGCCATCAGAGTCGCTAGCCTCTTTGTCCCATTTTCCATTGGGAACAGGAATATTCTGGCTTGCAGAATAAATTCCTAGAGAGACAATAAGTATGAAGTCACTTCTAGTACTGTTGGTTGAAAGGCAGGACATAAAAAGGGAACATAAATAACTGGCATGAGATTGTGTTGGTTTTAAACAATATTGTAAGATTCTATGTGATCGAGGGGTGGGGAGATATGGGTGATGTGCTGGTAGATCTCTGGATGATTCGCACTGGATCAGGAAGGATTTTTGTTTTACAATAACTGCAACAAAATTGCTTCCTGCAGCCTTAAATTATACTGTTCAGATGAAGGGATAACCAGGAGTGGGGTTTTGTGTGGAAAGATGGTGAGTTCTGTTCAGTTCCATTAAAGATTCCAGAGTCCAAATGAGACAGGACTAGTTAAATTTCTCAGTACATTTAATGCGCATATTTCCACCCCTGCTGTGTTTCAAATGACAATAGCTGGTCTGAATCTGCTATTTAGATTGGGATGAAATCTCCCTCGGTGTCATTTAGAGGGATTCGAAGTCACATCTAGCTTGGCCCTAAGGGAAGATTGTGAAATAAAGCCTGTGGTTTTCTGTAGAAGCTGATTCATCGCATGCTCGTAACAAGGGGTCACTCCCACAGTCACTGGGCTTAGGGGTGCTGAGCTCAGTGGCTAGACATATCTGTAAACACCACAGCTACAATCCTTATTTTATTGCTCATTGAGACTCAGGTTGCAAATTCAGCAGAACTGGAAAGCTTTTCCTGGATTGTGCTACAGCCAGCTTCAAGTAATAGTTGGTGGTAGTGGTGACTGAACCCATGCAAGAGCTTCTCCATTGGGTGAGGCATATGAAACTCCAGCTTTTTGCACGTCACACGTGTGACATCATGCACACGGCACTGCCCCCCCCCTCCAACTGCCTTCGCAAGCTGGTGCCTCTGTGGCCAGGAGTATGAGGTTTGTGTGTGTGTGTGTGTGAACTCCTCCATCTCCTCACCTCTCATTAAAGCTATTGCAAGGGGCAATAGAGTAAGCGGCTCTCTTTTCCAGGCCAATTTCCTCCCCCACTGCAAAACCAGCCTAAGATAAAAAAAAGAAAGAAATAGGATGCTGAATTATGCACACAATTGACAGCACACTGTGAGCTGAACTTGAAGTAAAGGAAACAAATATGGAAAATCAACATCAGAGTTCCTGGCGTGACTATAGTTCTCTTTATTGTAGCTGGATAGATTGGAATTGTTAGTCATCACGCAGCATTTATATTAGGTGCTATATTCCCTTGGCAGCAGCAGAGTAAACTGATGATGAACTGGTTGTGTTCCCTCAAATTTCCTTACGCTAATGAGAGCCTCTTAGCATTGTCTTGGATTTTCTTTTATCATAATGACATTTTCCATGATTTGTGAGATGTTTCCAATGTGAACAATTCAGCAACTTAGAAAGCAGCTGGCAGGAACTCCTGCTCCCACCCACCTGCCTGGGAATAGGATTGGCTTTTCCCATTCAGGAAATAGATGGATGGCTGGTGCCTCTACACAGCCCTGGAGCATGGCCTGAACCACATGGGATGCCCTAGCCAATGACAAAGATCCATTTCTCCTACTTCTGAGCTTCCTGGTATGTGAGCTTTTTGCCACTGCAGAACCATATTTTGGCCGTGGGACATAGCTTGCAGACTGGATAAATTCAAAATATATTGACAAAGCATTTGAGAAGTACCCTTTGGATTCATCTTGCAAACAACCCCTCCTACACAACTGCCTGGATATCTATTTTCAGAATGGACAGTAGCATTTTATTGTACAGACATGCATTTCTTTAAGACACCGTTGCTGAAAGATATATTGTGCAGAACACTTAGTGCCTGCAAAATATTATGAGTCTCCAGTTGGATCAGGAGATTTTCCAAAACAAAGAACACATTGCTAATAACAAAGAGCTGTGAAAAATAAAACAGAATTTTTTTAGTGCCTTTGAAAAACAGGTTGATGTATTTGTTTGGAACAGAGGCATGTTTAAATAACACCTAAAGGCATATGGCTAGGTTAAATGGCTTAGATATGGAATTGCACCAGCATATTTGTGGGTTTCACCTTTGGGGATATGACAGGAAGATGATCCTTGGAAATGACAGAAGCTTAAGTTATTGCCAAAGGTTCCACAAATTATAGAAGTTGCGGCAGCCCTGTACTTGGGCCTGTCTCACTCTGACAAAGCATACCTCTCTTTTGCAGTAGCCAACTGTTGATGAAGTACCAGAATGGCTGTTTTGTTAAGCAATTGCCTGATGATGTTGTCTTTTCCCTGAAGGGCATCTTGTCCTCCTGGGAGCCTGTCCCTTCAAGAACCTGCCTTTCCCAATCCACAAAGCCCAATGTGAATAGCCTCTAGTGTTTAACTGAAAATGTTTTATTGCCAAATAGTTTAGACCTTTCAGTCACTACCCAAGATTCCCTGAAATCCAAATACATGGAGCTGTGTCTATGTCATAGAGTCAGACCCATTGAAAATAATGAATTTAAATTGCTCATGTCCATGGATTTCAGTGGATCTACTCAGATAGATCTAACCCACTGTTCTTCCACTGTGCTTTCAGCACTGCTGGGCACAGGAATCACCTCAGTGTCTTCAAGTGGGAGACAAAGACAGGAAGCAGGATCAGTTGGGAAATCTGAAACATTTCAGACTTTGCCACCGGAAAATGCATTGCCTTGTGTAAAGAGCTGCCCCCTTTTACCATGTTCTTTTAAAGATCCAGTTAGTTTGATATCTACCCAAGACTAGACATTTGAAAACTACCCTGGAGTTTAAAGCTAGGAACAACAGTATAACGGTGTCGATATACTTCTAGGAAGCAACAATATTTAGAGGGGATTTGAGTCACAGCCTTGTACAAATCGCTATGGTCCAACAAGTGATGATTCCCAAGGTTGGATACAGTGCCAAGAAAGAGATTGTGGTTTGTTGCTCCTATTCACACTGAGGGAGGAGCAAAACGGTAAACCTTTAAGCATAACATGCAGATTCAACCTATGTGTTTTCATATTGTCATTTACTTAAGCCACAGGAGTAATTCTATTGCCTTCATTCATAAAGGCCTGGCAAGAGAATTCTGATGTCCCCCTTATGGGTATTGATCTATGTCTCATGTGCTCTGCGCCTTTATAAGTTAGCACTTTTTTCTTTCTTTTTTTACAGTGGAAGAGTTATTTTAAATAAATACGTTTCTCCTAAACTCAAATGATTGATGCACTTGGGACCTCGCAAAGTTTATTGTTGCAGCAGAAAGACAGAGTGGAAAGTTTATTCACAGCCCCTGCTACCCTCCTGCATGGAATCTTGATGGTTAGAAGTGAAGAGTAACGGATCAGATTAGTTGCTGCCTGGTGATTTATTAATGAGGAGTGCATGATGAATGGAAGCCAGGATTTATACCTAGTATAAGAGCAACAAGCAATATTTATAGCGGCTTATGGCAGATTCCATCTCTGCATCAGGCCAGATGCTGGTGATGTCTTTCACAAATCATGTGTCTGCTGTACAGAATCATCGTGAGCTTAATTTTATAAAATTTGTAACTATCAAAACAATGTGAACTTTTTTATTATTATTTAAAAATCTAACCTCCCCAACTTATTGATAAATCACTTTATGAGTTCTTTGAACTGAATGCTTTTCTAGCAACCTCAAAGTCATGAGCACCAAAACAGCAATTGTACTTTTAGCACCAGGTGTGGGTGGTGGCAAAACTTTGAATATGGCCTTGAGCAATTTCTTTTGGCAAAGCTTCTCTTTCTGCATAATATACGGACTTTAGCAATTGCGTCTTAACTTAAATTCTGCCAATTTCAAGCTCTCTCCACCCCCTACTCTGCCCCAATCACATCCCGAAAACTACTTTGAAAGTTGGCAAACACGTAGGCCTTAGGTGCTGCATTCAAAATTTGATTAGATGGTAATGTTTGATTGAATCTGGCAGGTGTTCTGAAGTTTTGTTCTGAAGTAACAGTGTGCAGAAAAAGAATTTTTTTAAAAAATCATTCTAGGTTTCTGGATGCCACTGTTTCATGATATGCTCAGTGCTTGTTTTGTTTCCATTCATGCTGATTTTATGGGTTGTTGTTGGCATCCATTTGTCTTGAGAGACAATGGAGTGTGCCTCCAGGGGTGAGGTCAAACCATTGGAGAATCACAGTGCCTGCAGAGACCAGTAACTTGCAGCTGCTGCTTCCTGTGTTGTTTTTGCTGCATTAGCAGCACAAAAGTGACCTCCCTGGGGCACAAACCTGGACAGTGTGTATGGAGGTCCTGGGCTGCCCAGACAACAAGACACCCTTCTTGGCCTCACCGATGTGGTCCAAAGGAAAGCAGAGCAATACATTTGGCACCAGCTTGGCTGCAGGAGCTGCCAGAAGGCGGTGTACAAGACGCCATCCAGCAGTTTTAGGGACCCCACTTCCAATTTGTGTAGGGTTTACTCCTTAGCCTTTTCTTCTCCTGAAGGTGTCCCACAAGACAGTGGTTAACTTACTATGTTTCTTTCAACAGCCCTGGAAGGCATACCAATATTGCCATCTCAGTATTATGAAAGCCAGTGTGTTGAGGGAAAATGTTAGGTGTGACTTTGGTTCAAATCCTCCCTCAGCCATGAAGCTCCTGGTATGACCATGGGACAATCACTATCTATAACCCAACTAATTCACAGGTTTGCTGTGAGGATAAAATTAGGGTCACTAATACAAACAATGGACAGGGCTCAGTGGCTGCAACTTTCAGTACCTATCTTTCTGTTCCCCTCCTAAATTCTTCAGTCAAAAAACCTCTCCAGAGGGTCTGTGGGCATCATGAGCGGCATGGATCTGCAGTATCAAGGGGGATCCCTTCACTGGATCTCAGGCTACTCCTTTCTCACAATGCAGGTCCACTTGGACAGCTGCTGCATGCTCTGCTGCATGGTGCAGTGGGAGAGTTGAAGCCATGAGATAGGAGCTGTTTGAAGTCTTCCTCGTGACAGGCAAGAGCAAGTCTAATGCCAACCAGGGGGTGGGTTTGTCTCTCTGCACAGTGTGATGGGCAGCAGTGTCTCCCCTACTCCAAATCTTCTGGATCATGCACAAAAGGAATTGGTAATACTCAAGCACATAATGGATTGCTGCAGAAATTCTGAATCCTGCCTGAGGATTTGGCAGAGTGAAACCATTTTGGAGAGGAGTATAATGTTTCTGCTCATACATCCTTTCTCTTCTGCTGCTCACAGTCCACCATTTCTACCAATCTACTGCCTCAGAAAAGAGTCTCAAGAGACTGAGTCACACAGCGGGAAGGCCCCCCCCCAACTAACTATTGTTGCTGTCAGGGACTCAGTAGGTGACCTTAGACAAAACAACGTCTCTTGGCTTCAGCTCTCCCTCTGTGCCATGTAGCATCGCATGCATGGTGCCGGAACTGAATTCTGGCAAGTTCCGGCTAAAAAAGTAGCCCTATGACCTTCAGAGACTGGGGTGTGGATCCCTACTCAGCCACGAAGCTCACACATCACACCAACACTTTGGACCAGCCACTATCTCTCAGCCTAACCTACGTCACAAAGGTAGCTTGGATGATAAAATGAGGAGGAGAGAACCATTGCAACAACTTGAGTGCTTTGGAGGAAAGGGTGGTATACAAATGTATGAACAAATGCATTTTTTGGAGTGGATCTGGAACTCACCAGAAAAGAGTGGGTCATGGTGGGCCTCTTCCAGAAGTGCTGCTTATTTTAAAATGATTCATTTGCCATGCTTCTAATTGAAACACTGCTATCATGTTCCTGAGGGCAAAGCCTTGATTCCCCTGCCACACTTCCATTTTTTTTTTTTTAAAAATGTATTCTAAATTAGATACCTTGTAAACATAGAGCCTAGGGCTTGCCAATCAGAAGGTCGGTGGTCCAAATCCCTGTGACGGGGTGAGCTCCTGTTGCTCGGTCCCTGCTCCTGCCCACCTAGCAGTTCAAAAGCATGTCAAAGTGCAAGTAGATAAATAGGTACTGCTCCGGGGGGAAGGTAAACGCCGTTTCCGTGCGCTGCTCTGGTTCACCAGAAGCGGCTTAGTCATGCTGGCCACATGACCCAGAAGCTGTACGCCGGTTCCCTCGGCCAGTAAAGCGAGATGAGCGCTGCAACCCCAGAGTCGTTTGCGACTGGACTTAATTGTCAGGGGGCCCTTTACCTTTACCTAAACATAGAAAAAGAGATATGATCTAGCTATAAACTTTAAATTACTCAGTTTAAAGAATATACCTTATTGTATGAAGCCCAAGAACCACCAGTTAATTGGCTGGCTGTAATATTTATTATAAGTGGCTTTTTGCTTCCTCCACCCACCCCGTGGCAGATTAGATCTGAGCCTCCTAGCAATTTCATAAATAATTTCCTCCCATTTACTGCAAATCAAATATTTCATTCTCTTGTGGGTTTTCCTTTTCAGGCAATTTCCATCTGCAGAGTGTTTTAAATGTGGTTGCCATTCCTTGGATCTATTATTTCCTCAACAAGGAATGTTTCACATTAAGCCAGAAAAAAAGAAAAAAGAGAGAGACGCAGTTGAGCACTGTAGTTGTAAAACTGACAAAGCCTCCATCCAGAAACTGTCAACTCCATCTCACCCCTTCTTTTTGGGAGCCATGTCCATTATTTTTACTCGAGAAACAAATACAAGCTGTTGTTTCAGTGATGTCGCTTGACATTCAGTCAGTTCCGAGAAACCATTTTTTTCCACTGTAAGCTAGCCCACAAAATGCCAGTAGCTCCTGTTTTCTTTTCTTTTATCACTGGAAGAAAGCCATGTGTGGGGAGAGAACTGGGAATCAGGCTTTCTGAGTTCTAGACTAGCTCCATCATGAACTCTGGGTGCCTTTATTTTTGCAAAATGATCAGGAGATGTCCTGATCATTTTGCAAAAACAAAGGCACCATATTTGTGTCCTAGATTTGCATTCTGCCATTCCTTCAAGAATGGTGCATGACAGTGGGGTAGTGTGGGTTGCCAGCATCTGGGGTTGCATGTGTGTGTGGGGGGGTGAGATAGAGGGAAACGGATACGCACGAGTATTCAACTGCCTAATGGCATCCGCGCACCCAGGAGATTGCAGCTGCAGAGATAAGCAAAGAAGAGTTGTTCCATTGTAAGGAGAGGGCACTTCCTGTTTCACATGGAGAAGCTGTTTTCAGTGAGGCCCAGCAATGCAAGCACACAGCTGTATTGAGGCAGCACCAGGTGTTGAAATGTTGAACCCCTAAATTTTTCCCACCCAGGGCAACCGCCCCTGTGCTCCTGCCAGGCTACACCAGTGGTACACATTAGGTTAATGCATTTTATCCTCACAACAACTCTGTGAGGTAGGTCAGGTTACAAGAGAATGATTGTACCAAAGTCACTCAGTAAGCTCCATGGCTTAGCTGGGAGTTCAGTCCCATTTCTCCTTGGATCAAGTATTTATCCACATCGCTCTGCATGGCCTTTCAATACTGAAATGGCAGTGTTTCTGAAGTATTCCTCTGTGTGCGCACAACAGTTTATTGAGTGAAATTGGACAGAAAATGAAAGCAGTAATAAAGGATCCATGTGCAAAGGCAACTCAGGCAGGGGGCGTTAGTTGTCCTGTCTTCTGTAGGCCTCAGACATATAGGCATCTAATGCTTTTCTTCTTTATAGTAATGGCTCTTCCCTCCCTAGCTGAGAAATTATAATTGGTTCAGCAGCAGTGCCATATTCCTTCCACAGCTGAATGCCTTGATAGCCCTTGAGCTGAAGGAAGGAACTAGTACAACCACATGAAGCTCTTTGCCTTCTACTTCCCAGCAGGCATTAGTTCAATGAGAGAGCTGAGTTCATATGGGAGAGTGGAAATGATGATTAGCCCATGTGGGCTGACAATATTGTATTAGATAGCTCTATGCATTCTGTGACATCTAAATGAATAATCCTCTAGTAATGTTGGCAGTTGATGACTTCACAGGGCCTGAGCACTTAGGCCGACAAAATTAATGGAAGCGTGTTAATTTTGTGCATGGAATCACTCTGGCTGTGTTACCAATATGTCCATACTCTTTGCTCTATGTATCGTGTTCAGAGGGCTTCAGCATCCATTATACAACTTGCAATACACCGCATTTTATTAAAGGCCTCCTATCTGTTCAAATTTCCTCTGTGATGGGAAAATCACACTGACATTAGGAAAATCTGTTTAGTCTCCAGCGGAATTATTGCTGCTTCAGCTCTGATGCCATCGTGAAATCTGGCCTTCATTTGGAATGTGGCTTATAGAACAAAAATGACACTGACTCAAAGTGAATGATAAGAAAGCTTTTAGCTTTCTTCAGTTTCAAACAAACGAGAATAGAGGAAAAATTACTCGTGATGGAAAATTATACCTATTTACAAACACCATCAACTGTTATCAGAAAAAGGGCATTTATAAATAAATCAGGGATAACCTCAGACCCTACATTTACCAACAAAGAAGTTTCAGGATTTAAATGTTTTGAGTAAGTCAAAAATGTGTTTTAATTAAGTA